AACCCTAACCCTAACCTAACCCTAACCCCCTAACCCTAACCCTAACCTAACCCTAACCCTAACCCTAACCCTAACCCTAACCCTAACCCTAACCCTAACCCCCTAACCCTAACCCTGTGCAGGTAGGGTCTTAATCTTATACCTTGCAGCTTTTCTTATAATATTTCCTTTATTTAATAAAAAAGAATTTATAATTTTTTAATTTTTTTTTATTTATTTAATTTTAATATTATTTTTATTTTAATTTTTTATTTATTAAAATTTATATATTATATTATTTTATTTTATTTTTTATAATATTTTTTTATTTTTTTATATTATAATATATTATTATTTTTAAATTTAATTTAATTTTAAAAATTTATTTTAATTTATTTATATTTTATATATTTTAATTATATTTTTTAATAACATTAATATAATTAAATTTAAATAAAAATTATTAAGTTTATAAATTTTTATTTTAAAAATAATATAAAAAATTAAAATTAATTTAACTTTTTTAAAAAAAATTTAGCTTTTTTATAAATAAATATTTATTTTATTTAAAATATTTAAATTTTTAATTAATAACTTTTAATAAAATATAATAATATTTTATAATTTTTATTTTTTTTTAAATTATTATAAATATTATAATAAATAATTTTTTAATAATTATAATTAAGTTTAAATAATAAATTTATTTATTAAATTTATAAAAAATAAAAAGCTTTTTTTTAAATTATTTTAAATATATTATTTAATAATAATATTTTTAATTATTTTTATTAAATTTAAAATAATATAATATTATTTTAATAATTTTAAAATTTAATTATTTAAATAATAAAATTAATAAATAATAATTTTAAAATTATTTAAAACCTTAATAATATTAATTTTATTAAATTTTAAAATATTTAAATTATAAATTATAAATAATATTATTTATAATAAAATTATTATATTAATAAAAAATAAAACTTTTAAAATATTAATTTAAGTTTTTAATTTATTATTAATAATAAATTATAAGATTTAATTAAAATAAAATTAATATTTTAATTAATAATAAATAAAACTAAATTTTTCTTTTTTATAATAAATTCTTTAAAATTTCTTTCTTAACTTTAAATAAAAAAAATAAATAATTATTTAAGTTTAAAAAAGCTTTAAACTTAAAAATATAATATATATATTATAATAATTTTTATTAAAATAATAATAAAATAAAGAAATTTAAAAGTAATAATATCTTTAATTAAAATAATTATTTTTAAGAAATAATTGAAAAGCTAAGTAAATAATAGATAAATTAATAAATAGTTAATTTAAAAAAAACACAGTGTGGCCGAAGGCCTTTCGCCTGCTAAGCTTGTGGATATTTAGGTAGTCTTGCTGAATCCAATTCAGCGGCTTGCCTTGTGGGACCTCGCGTCCGGCCGCTCGAGGTCAAGTCCGCGCCATGTCCAAATCTCAGGTGTGGCGGGCCCGTTCTGGTCGTTAAGGTCGGCATAGTTTCTATTAACAACTTGGACGTCGCAGCGCAAGCGAATGACAATTTGTTCAAGAGGCACGCCGTCAGAGTTGGCGACCGCGTCCTCGGCCTCGCCTTGGGTGCCGTTACCACGGACAGTGACCCTTCAGGGAGATTTCTGAACCAGGGACATGCTCCTTCCGAGGAAGCATTCCAGAAATATGCCCTCGTCCGTGCGCATTTCGCATGCGTCATCCCCAACACGATCACATACGAGCAGGCGTGCGTCTTTCCACTTACCATGACCATCGCTGCGAATGCCCTCTTTCACGAAGACTACCTCGATCTGTGCCGGCCTACTGTCCTACCACGCGAGCCTGATGCCTCATCCAACGTTGTCATCATCACCGCCGGAGCATCCAGCCTAGGCTGTCATGCCATTCACCTCGCTTATGCTGCAGGATACTGGGTCTAACTACGAGTCAGCGTACGCCCACCTAGCTTCCATAATACGCTTACTTAGCTTTTAGCGTTGGCCTACCTAGTATAAGGAAATTAATTATATGCATTATAAAATATTAATATTATAAGGTTATTAATAAAGTATAGCTATAGCTATTTTAAAGGGATCTTATAGCTACCCCTTTATTTATAACTTAAAAGTTACTTCTGCTCTTTGCCGCCCTTTGCGCCCTCTGCCGCCCTCTGCGCCCTCTGCCGCCCTCTAAGCCCTCTGCGCCCTCTAAGCTCTCTGCGCCCTCTAAGCCCTCTGCGCCCTCTAAGCGCTCTGCGGCCCTCTGGGCGCTCTGCGGCCCTCTGGGCGCTCTAGGGCCCTTTAAGCTTTTTAGGCTTGTATTTTTAAAGTATTACTTAAATTAAAAAATAGCTACCCTAGCTTTTTATATATAGGGTAAACTTAAAAAAATACTTAATCTTATTAATATAATACTAAGAAACAGAAGTACTAGGTAGGTTAACGCTGGAAGCTAAGTGGGCGTACTGTGGAAGCTAGGTGGGCGTACGCTAACTCTCTAACTACTCCACTTCCTCCCCAGAACACTTTAAAACCGTCCAAGAGTATAGCGCGAGGCGTGTCTTCGACTACCGCACGCGTAATCTAGCGAATAGAATTCTTTCAGCCATCAGGGAAGACAACCGGAGAGTCGCTTTTGTGGCCATTGGCATCGACTCCGTGGAAATCTGCAGAAGAGTATTCAGCAAGTCCAAGGGCGGGAATGGCATTCGAGATAACAACAAGTTCATCGCATTCACAGAATTTCCTACGACGACGATGCATCTCCCACTCACCTTGGCGCGATCCATCGGTTAGACGGCGATGCGGAAAACGTTCAACAACATTCTTTCAAGAGTATCTGGTGTCCAGATCAAGCCAATCGTGCTTCAAAACTTGGGTTCTCGTAAGAATAAGATCACTAGGATGGTGTTGCAGGATTTTCTCCCACGCGCATTGGCTTCAGACCAATATCTGCCCAAACCGCAACCAAAAGTGGTGGGCAAGGGCCTTGGGAAAATTCAAGAAGCGTTTGACGTCCTAAGAGACGAAAACTCTGCTGAGAAGCCTGCTGTGACGATATAATCGGGTGAATTGGAAGAATCTGCGTTGACACAACGCGTAAAGTACACGAGCTGATGTGACACAGGGCCTATTGGCTGTCCTGCTCTATTGAACTTTATGTAACTTTCATAACACAATCGGGTGCAAGTATAAAACAGTGCTAGTCCGTACATAAACCAGTATACTAATCAAATGGCAATCAACACCGCCAGTACTTGGGGTCTAGAGTAGTGAGTGCTCTGAACTCGCTTTACATGGGGGCTAATGCGACTTACCACGCATAGATACTAAATATGATCGGCAGGGTGAAGTAAATAGACTTGATTCTCTCTATGAGTCCGATTATGAGTCCGATTATGAGTCCGATTGCAGTTGCCCGACAACATGCTTACCGAGCACGACGTCCGAAATCAACGGACGGTCAATAGAGACGGCACTGAGTGGCAGACAAAGGACAAGCGTTGTCGATCAGGGCATCGTGCTGAGTCACAAGACACCTCTCAATGATGTTGAATCTAAGATTGACATATCATTGTCGGATGAGTATTTCCACCTGGTATCAACCATGGTCCTGGATCGCAACCCGACATTAGCCATTGCAGAGGAGGTTAAAACATGCATTCCATCATTTCTGGTGTGTTGGCAAGTATCATACCTCTGATTCACTCGCGAAACTCCGATTGATCTGCGGCCCCGGTCATGGGGGTCGCTGAAACCTTTCGGATACTATTTGAGCCGGTAAATCGGGGGCCGTCTGTTGATTGATGACGTGAGGAGGCGACATTCAAGACAGCCAGGCTCGGCGATTTGTCACGCGCCTCAAGGGCATGATGGCTCAAAGCTGATCTTACATCAGCTATAGAGTAATGTATGTAACTTGTCTTCACTTTCACAACCGGTGATATCTAGGGCGGAAAAGGAACTGCTACATGACGTAGATTTGAATATATTATCTAAAGCTCGCCGTCGCTACCTCCTCGCGAAAAGCGCGACCGTAGAGGGTGCTAAGAGCAATGTGTGTATCTAAGCTGCCTCCCTAAAGTTAGAGTTTTGTCTGCGCTGCTCGAGTCGTTAGGTACGGTAAATCCGCCCGGGAGCTAAACACGGCAGACAGGAGGGCCAACAGCGGTTTATTATTATGGGCAAGCTAGCCGTGGACCTTACCCGGAATTGCCGTGACAAGGAAGGCCGGCTCTCCACGAAGAGCACCGCGGAGCACGCGATGGACTCGTTCACCTGTTTTTGTAGCTCCCCTATACAAGTTTTCATGTGCATGACTCCAATTACAATCCTATCTATCATAGTCTTTTCCATTTCAACAATTCACCGTAATCACTCTGACCATGGCAGAATACACCGCGTCATCAGCCATGCTCAAGGCCCTTGAGGCCGCCGGAGTAACACACCTCTTTGTGAACCTCGGCAGCGACCATCCAGCCATCATGAAAGCTATATCCAAACGCAAAAGAGACGGGAAGCAGGGCCTCAAATTTATCACTGCGCCCAACGAGTTCGTCGGGCTCTGCGCAGCCCAAGGATTCTTTCAGGCCAGCGGTAAGATGCAGGCCATCATAGTGCATGTGGATGCCGGAACGCTCGCGATGGCCGGGGCGCTTCACAACGTCTCGAGAGCAAGGATCCCCGTGATAATGATCGCGGGAACATCACCGGTCACGGACGAGAACGAGCTTGTCGGGAAGAATTGAGCCAAATTGATAAGTCGCTAACGTTTCAAGGCAGGAGTTCATCCACGACATCCAAGACACTATTGACCAGCGTTGGATTGTGAGGAACTACACTGTTCTCAATCACGAGATCCGCACGGTCAGGAATGTAAAGCAGCTTATTCATCGGGCCGCTCAGTTCTCTCAGAGCGCGCCACAGGGGCCATCTTACCTGATCGCCTCCCGGGAGACTTTGGAGGAGGAAATCCCACCTTACGAAGTCAATCCAAAGAAGTATAGACCATTGGCTCCGAAAGTACTTGACCCGGGCTCGGTGAAGGAGATCGGCGAAGCCTTGATCAACGCGAAGCTTCCGGTGGTAATCACGAGGTACGTGGGGAAGAATGTCGCGGCCGTCCCCGAGCTGGTCAAGTTGGCCGAAGCCACAGGCCTGGCTGTCCTCGTAGGCCAACGGCCCGTTCCTCTTGGCAGTTTGGCCTTTTTTGCTAAACGGAAAGAATTGCAGGAAGCCGTACCAGGTACCACGAACTTCCCACATGACCACCAGCTTGCCTGGTTATTGGAGTGATAGCCCCAGGGATGGCCTGCTTGAAAAGGCCGACGTGATACTGGTCATTGACAGCGATGTGCCTTGGATCAAGAGCAGATTCAGGCCGTCGCCCGAGGCGCTCATCTATCACATTGATGCAGACCCTCTGAAGGTCAACATGAGCTTGTTCAACATCGGTGCTGACATCTCGGCTCAGGCCGATGCGAAGACCGCGCTGGAGCAGATTAATCAGTGGTTGACCCAGCAGAAGATCACCACAGCACAGGAGGAAGCTGTCAAGAAGAGAACGGCCAACGTCTCATCTATCCACGATGCCTACGTTGCCGACGTTGTCGCCCTCCAAGTTGTTCCCGAAGGCGACATCATAACTCCACACTATGTCCTATCCGTTCTCAAGAAACACATCGACCAGGATACGCTCGTCCTGAGCGAGGCAATCTCAAATTACTGCCCCGTTCCTGACCCTGGTCATGAACAACCGCGGCTGGAAGAGCCCCATGCTCAGCAACCTGGCGGTGCACAAGGCCGGGCACTCTAGCAGGATGGCCTCGCGGACGACCTGCACGTTACCTTTGACCCGCCCGTGGATCATGCCCAGGTCGCAGTCGCGGCGGGTGCGGGCTTTGGGGCCACTGTCAAGAAGGCTTCAGAGTCCGAGGCGGCCATAAAGAAGGGACTGGAAACTGTGAAGGCGGGGGGGGGGGGGGGCAGCTGTCATTGATGTCTGGCTGCCCAAGTTCCAGGTTGGTGACATGGTAGGGTGATGTATACTGAGCTTGCTTCTAGCATATGTTTGCAAACACTATGTTGAGCCTCGTCGATGACTTTCTGCCTGCTGGCTGAACGCCTCGTCATACACTGCCTAACGAGTGACTCTGTGTGTACCTGGAAGAGCTAGAATACAAACTCCTTACCAGGAAGGGTCCGTTCATGGATCTGGTTCAGCGCCCCTGGTGTCCCCTATTCCCCGCCTACGCAAGCAACTTAGTAGTAGCACCGCTGTCCGATCACCCACTTCGGCCCAGTTGCTCCGTCTTCAACAGCGAAAGAAGCTTGTTCCTCCAATATTTGCAGCTATGATAAGGCCCTGGGCATTACATTGGGATAATCTTTGTTGCTTGTAGAGTGGTCATGGACGAAGGCAGCCGGGTTTCTGAATTTCTTTGTGGTGCAACGATGATGACAGTAATGGCATGGACTGGTCTCGCACCATACCACGGAGCAAACACCTTGTCCATCGGCAAGCTCATATGGAACCTGCTGATTACTGTCGTTAGACGGCCAAGTCAAGGTGTCCGATCGCTGACTGGCTCCATTCCAAGGTTTGCGATCAAAAGTCGAGGACTTTGGAGCCCTAGTCACAAGCCACAAACGACGACCGTGAGCGTTAAATGTTTCTGATCATTCATATAGAGACGTATGTTGCCTCAATGATAACGTAACCAGCACAGTCAACAGTATTTCAGTAATGGTCGAGAAGACACGTGCGAGCCTCTGGGAGGGCTTCTGCTCAGGTATATTCCCTTGTGCCACTGGACGTCGGTCAAGATGACTTCAAAGCAGCTTGTATCTACAGGCCTGGAGAATCCATGGAATTTGGGGCAGGTCAGGCGAAGGTGAGAACATTCGCAAGTCTTGAGGATGGCTACCAGGACAATGACACGCAGCTCTCTTGAATTATGGTCTCGTTTTTAATCTGTATACATATGCTTCTTAAGCAATATGCATCCAGTCCCTTCACACAGTCACAAATGCTTAAACACCCAATGTTAAAAAGAAAATACAATATCGATAACAGTAGGTTTCGAACACAACTATAGCTTGTGGCTAAGAAAACAATGACAGCCTTGTGACAGCCGCACAGACGAGGCTAGCAAGAACCGCTTCTGGCGGCGCCTCTTGGATTATGCCAGTGTCCAAAGGATGAACTGCTCATCCTCGTAAACGTTGGGGAACCCATAATTAGGAATGCTGAAACACAAGCACTCACACGTCTACGTGCGTGGTTCCCTTTCTGCGGGAGGTGCCACGCGGTATCATTTAACTACAATTAATACGGTGACCCACATGCTGCCACACAATCTTCTCTTCAGAGCTCACTCGACTTCATTACAGCAGCAAACACAGCAAACACCTAGGCTAATAGCTGCAAAGAATCATCGTCATGCACAACAGAAACGACTGAGAGAGCACAACTCCTCCTGTGAGATAGGGCTGTAGCATGAATGAGCTCAACTGGTGCCCAACACAAAGAACATTTTGAATCACAGACAGAGAACAAACCAGATGAGTATATACGTATATATATTTCAGTGATTCCGCCATGTACTATGAGTCCAGTCTTTTCAGTACGTAAGTAAGCGTCAACAGGCTTTTGCTGCATCAACTCCAAGTGATAAACAGAGGTCAATGGTATCTAAACAACTGTTCATGTCTGTCACTAATACCACTATGGGATGAAGAACCTTGACATATAGCTAGACCGTGACTGAGCCACAGGAGACTGCCATAATGAAGCCTTCATGTCATAGACAACAAGGCAGTATAAATGCTGAGCTGGGTAAAACAGATTGATTCTCTAACCAACCATACAACGCTCTAGTCTTCATAAGACTCGAAAACATTAAGCTGTTCTTGCCGTTTATCATTTTCGCCATAGCCTAAAAATCAGAGAATCATTCACCATGGATCCGAACTTCGCGCGACGGATTGATGACATCGAGGATCGAGGACTTCCAGGGGACCACGACCAAACCTTGGAAGATGATGTCCATCAATTGTGGCGGGACGCTCCCGACTGGTACGCTCTCACGGAGCTCAACCGGCGATACCTCGAAGGCAGCCTCCCTCTCTGTCCAAGCTATAGATTTCCAGTTGAGCCGGAGACCGAGAACTTTGAAAACCTTCTTGCGCTTCACGACTACGGAATCATCTCCACAAACTCATGCCCGGGAACAGGGCTCGGGGACACAGAGCTACGACAACGTTCCTTCTTGTTCTTCAACATTCCAACCCGTGGTCTGGTGACAACTTCGCCTGACGCATTGCCCAACTTCGTCCGGGACCTGGGAGAGGCTTCGGAGGTATATGCTCACATACGATTCCAATACCTCAATGCACCGCACGGAATTGAACGGGACCCAGACATCAGTCGCCTGATGGTAAGCGGAAGCTACAATACTCTTCCAAAAATCGATGGTGATGATTGGGAGTCGGAGGGGTGGACTTATGACACGGACGAACGAGGTCACGTCTGCGGCTTCACTTTCGAACAATCAAAGTATCTCGATGATCTCGACGGAGATCATACTGGGGACCTGAGGATCCCGACGGGTGGCTCAAGCTTCGGAGATGATGAGAGCCCGATCCAAGCCAGCCACATGGCCGATCCTCTACAAATCTCCGTATTGGCCCGGGGCTCGGACTGGGACTTCACAGGGATCGGGAAGTTGATCAAGGGTCTCTTAGATGATTCAGGAATCTTGTCCGCATACCGTCGTCCATGAAGTAACAAACCAGCCCCGTCCACAACGGCAAAACGAAGAGCCAAAAACAAGATATGCAAACACGGTAACACTTCAGCAGCATCAAGGGCTTCTGTTGTGTTACTTAGGGTTAACGCTAGGCAGGAGGGTCCCAGTGCTGAAAAGTGTGAGTCCCATACACCATATACCGACAAAGGCGATAAGGCAATAACTAAAGCTAACTCTGAGAGGCCACCACGTCTCTTTTAAGAGAACTTTTTGGGTGCGATTTGTTTTTGGAACGAGGTAGTTTTGGAATGACCGAATTTTGGAATGAAGAAATTTTGGAGGGAGGTAATTCTGGAGCGAGGAGTTTTGGAGCGAGGAGTTTTTGGGAGTTTTGGAAAGAGGTAGTTTTGGAATCAGCTATTTTTGGAATGCAAACCTCGTGTATACTACACATTGACCCGTAACTGAATGCTATGTACACTGCTGAGGTTGTCCATTGCGTTGAAGGTGTGCGGTCCCATTGGCGAGCTGATTCTGGTCCGTGACGCACGCCTTGTCTTCTTGTATTCCATTCTGGCGGCCTAGTCGCCGTCTAACGCGGCCGACTGCTCGTCGTCCTGCACCTGCTGGTCAAGGAGTTATTGGCGTTGGTCTCTGACAATGCGACGTGGATTTGGTTGGCCTCGGCCGAGAATCGCCTACGACTGTCCTCATCGGTACCGTGTAGGACGAGACTTGCGCTCCGGGCTCACCGGTGGCCTGTTTATCAACGTGGCTGCCCAGGGCCATATCTTCTAGAACTACATCCTTCTGGCTAGTACCAGCTTCAACTCCTAAGACGAGACCGCGCCGAAGAAGTCCTACAAGGGCCTCCTGTGGCCATACATATGTGTGCCACACGTGACCGTCTGGAATTGTTACGGCTTGTGGCGCACCTTGCCCGGGCCGGAATGAGGTCGGTGAGGACAGTGTCGGAGAGACTCTAGGCTGGAGAAGGTGTTCGTCAAGTGCTAATACCTGGCGGGTGGAGCCGAGCCTGCAACCCTTCATATACTACCTAGATAGTTAGTATGTGAGTACAGATGTAGTCTCTTTTGCTTGTTTGCTGCGCCTACCAAGACTGGAGGCTACCTCGCATCCAACACACCGTACTCGTGTCCGTATGGCTCCTTGTACCCTACACGGGCACTACAATACTTGCTAGGTACCGAAAAAAGGAAGCAAGCTCCACACGCAGACGGCAGTGCGCTTGCATTTTCTGAGGTAAAGACATTCGGATGAACCCCTGGAGTATCATTCGGGCCAAATTGTGGGGGACATGGATCCGAGAGGAGAGGCTTGGGTGGAGCCGAGAATGATTCCGGCATTACGGCAATGTCCAGAATTGTACAATGAAATCCATTTTGATTGACTGTAATGCGCTCCTGTGTCGAATATTGTGTTGTCGATCCAATCAGTATAGAGTCACAGTGTTACGTATCAGATGATGAGCGGTACGCGCGGCCTGGTAGGGACAATGATCTATAGATATGTAAAGTGTGGCCGTTGCCATACGACACTCTCGTCTTTGAGAGACGATACGCATGATCCTCAACCTGGCACCAAACCTTCGCTTTATTCCTACCTAGTGTTTGTTTCACGATACATATTGCGGAACTGTCCCAATGGCTACGCCTGTCCATGGGCGTTGCAGTAATCGCGTCCGCGATGGGTGCAGCAGCCCAACAGGTCCCTGCGGCGGCCGCGTTGATCAGCAGAAATGCCGAGGCGTCAAACACGACAGACTGCTCTCGGGAATGCATGACGGACATCATTGTTACCCAGATCCTCGACTCAGCGGTGGCTCACAATCCGTCGACCTTGCCACTGGCATCAACGTACAAAGCGACCGAGAACTCGCATCCGGCAGCCCTTGCCATGATGACTTTATGGCACACGGTCACCAAGGCAGGCACTCCCGACCTGCTCGCAATTGACACTACAAACGGCACTGCGTACTTCGTCCTGGACGTCAGCGAGGGAAACGACGCAATGCCACCAGTCCTTCGGGGCCGGATCGCGGTGGTCGACCAGCAGATCACAGAGCTTGAGCTGTTCATCAACCGCTATCGCGGCGACCACGGCTTCTCCTACTCGGCCTCAGAGCTCCCTGCGAACTATGCAGAGTTGATGTCCCCGCCAGCCAACCGGACCAAAGCGAGTCGAGAAACGCTGTGGAAGCTAAGCGAGGCCCTCTTCGCCGAGTCCAGCGACTTCACAGTCGCCATCAGTGACGACTGCCAGTTCACCGAGATAGGCTGGAAGGTCGTCGATGCTGGGACCTACAACAACGGCTCAACCGACCCCCTCGGCTGTGCCTGGCCCGACGATCATCCCACCGATGACAACACACGAGTGGCCCTTGTTTTTCACGAGGAGTTGGGCTTCGTTGTTACCAGTGGGGTGATCCCGGGCACTGTCTACCCATACGGCGGGAACGTCTCTGCCTTCATCCCGAACAAGATGACCTCAGCTCAGCAGGCGCAGGTGGATTACATCGAGTACATGCAAGCCAGTGATCCTTCTGTGCCGCTTGTGGCTCCCTTTGGAGGCACTGGCGACACCCTCGAGGTGCTTCAATACTACAACGAAGAGCTCACAGCTATGCAGATCAAAGTCTATGTGAGCGGTCCCAACATGACATCGCCCTGGTTGTGGTCGACGCGGAGATGCGGCTTTATAATCGAGCTTGCGACTGCTGGCTTCGATGCTGATTTCTGGGCTCGTGTCTTGGGATGACCATCTTGCCGAGGAATTTTAGGCTGAGCTCGTCGCATTGGGAAGTTTATCTCTTTCGTTCTTTGGATGTATTGGTGATAGCCCATGGCATCCACAGTCTTCAGTTACTAAATTGCTATATCGATAGCGTCAATTGATATTTAATGCTTGAACGGGAATAAACTATGAAAGCGACCAGGAAAAAAGCTATGTGACGCGCTATTTTCTTTTACCGCGATTTTATCTATAAGCTGTAAGGGGTTTCCTTCCTGATGATATAAATCTCTCCCACGAGAACTGTGCAGCCGACGGTCATGGCGATGGCAATGATCGGCACGTTAACGCGAGCAAACTCCATCCTGCGGATATGAATGTGCTTCCTTTGGAGAATATCCCGCCACAGCAGGCCTGCCAACGATGCGCTAAAAGCAGTGCTGAAGGCGCCGTAGTTGACGCCGAGCGCCATGCTGTAAACAGTCGCCCAAAATGTCCGATCGCTGATATGGTTGCTATTCGGCTCCAGGTGTATCCTTTGCCAGGCTTGAATAACCCGTGATAGAAGGATCGTTGTACCGATATTGGTTCCTGCGAACTAAGAAGTCGCCAACGTAAGCTCACGTGGAATACGGCTGAACAATCTCAGGGACACTCACATTGCAGAGGATCACGGAAAGAAAGCCCATGCCGCCGACAGCTCCGATGGTTCCTGTCTTTTCCACCCAATGGTCCCATCCATGCGCAAACACGGAAACCCAACCTTTGGTAACCAGCGCTTGGACCAGGACAAACATGGAAAAGGCGAACGGGACAAGCGCGAAGGGCAGATGTGATATTACAGCCATGACGGTTGGGAAAGTCTCCTGCGACCATCGATACCCATCTTTGTAGAGGGATACAAGAGTCACCGGGTCGTGCTCCATTGCGGTCTGTACTGTGCTCTCCACTGGCTCGCTTGGTTGCTTCTCGTTGGTGGGTGTGTTCAGACTCGAAGTCAGGATGCCTTGTGCCGAAACCGTGGACCCATCCGCACAAAGAGGACTTTCTCTTTTATCGAAAATAGTCAGCCCATCGCTCGAGGACCGGGTGTTATCAGCTGCCATTCCCTCCCCAGTTGACCCGGACAGCTCCAAGGGTGAACTTGACTCGGGCGCCGGGCTGATGCTCGCGTCACCTGCCGGACCAGCAGGTGTGAGCGTGAGTAGAGGAGGTGATCCTCCCCCGGGAACAACGGGTGAGGCGTTTTGTTCTGGCTTCGCATCAGCATCGGCGTCCTCGACTTTAGTCTCAGGCCAAGCTCTAGGTTGTTTAGAGGAGCTCCGCGTTATCAAAAGCATCTCTGTGCCGCCCTCGTTGGACACCTGTCTTCCCTCACCCTGCTCTCTGTTCCTCTTCTCTCTCGACAATCTGTCCAAACGAACCCGTTCAACCTCTTCTCGGCCTCTGCGAGAGATTTCTCGCGTTTCCTCACGATGGAGCCACCCGAATGCAATATCCCAACACAGCATAACGAAGGCAGCCGGCAGTGTCACCCAAAAGACCTGAAATTGCTCATCATTCTTCGTCTTGACACTGGCAGCGTTGACAGCCACAATGGTGACAAGAGTTACTGACATAATGATGGCACCGAACGCTGCGCCTCCTTTGTCCAGGAAGGGATTCATGATCTCGACAAGAGAGAGAAGCTGACCCTGGTCGTCGTTTCCGTGGGTCTTCTCCTCCTCGTCTGCGATCCCTCTGGCGTTGGGAATGTTTGGATTGACAGCAGGTTTTAGCCTAGCCTCTGATGGGAGCTCGCGCATTTTGATAGAGACTGGAATGAGACCCGCGTTGGCAAAGACGATATAGAGTAGAAAGGGGAATAAGATAATTGCCGTAACAACAACTGGAACCACCATATTAGCGGTGTAGTCAATGAATTTAATATTAAAAGCCCCAGCGAGGACGAGGTTGGTCGGGTTGGATGAAACGAGGACTGCCGAGGCAATATTGGCTATCGAAAATTGAGTGAAGATCCAGGCCCTGGGATGTTTAATATTATTTGATACTCGGGTCATATAGGCCAAAAACGCAGTACCGGATAGAATAATCGGATCGTTGCCGATGAGAACGCCTAAGCCGAAAAAGAAGGCGTACAAATAAAAGAACAGTCTATGGCCAACTTTGCCTCCCCATTGCAGGACTTTTAGGGCTAGGTACCTGATAAGACCAGACGCGTCGATTGAGATTGCGATGTAAGCCAAGGTGATGAAGAAGATCATGATGTCGATAGGGAAAATGCCATTGTCTCCAAGAGTGCCGGCCTTGACTTCGTCTCTTCCAATGGCCAAAATCGCGAGTAGGAAGAGATCTGCGATAAGCGGTGCCGTAATAGAATTCATGTGGAATCTCTTGCGCACGAATCTGCTAGCCTCGCCGTCGTATTTTCCTCGGTGCGAGCACCTTGTCCTCGTTGGTATCACACGTATAGCACTGAGCCAATTCTGAACCCCATACCAAAGTCGGGCGGGGACGTAGAATGGGATATGAAATGGAAGCAAGACGGCAATATCTATGTCCCGCTGTTAGTCGTGATATGACAACCCGGTCACCCAGCATAAGAATTATAGACGGGAATTGAGTGTGCTTACTGGCAAGGAAAAAGACGATGAGTGTGACGATAGATCGCCACTCTTTGATCTGGTCAGTCTCAAGACTGACGTCGGAGAGATCCATCCTAGCCATAGGATTGTGTCGCAGGTTCCACCAGGACAGAATGACACATTAAGTCTGTTCGTTCTAATAACACAGCCAGCTCGAAATAAGGCTGGATTGGTGTCTGCCGCGCTTCATGGTGTTGAGTTCTGAAAAAGTCGTGGTCCAGGCTCTGGGATCAAGAAGCGGTGGGGGACAAGCCACACGGTAAGAATATTGCTTGGCAAGTGTGTGAGAAAAGAAGCAGGTGCCCGATCAGGTCAGCCCTAGGTGACCTTATGTTCTCTCCTATTGGGCACTGCCAAAAAGCCCCGCCTTTCATACGTGGTACGACAGGCTGCAGAGTGCTTTTACGCGTTTCGGAGCCAATTGCCTTATTCCACTGCCAAGTCCATGCTCATCTTTGCTCCTCTCAGCCGGTGCCCAAGGGCTGCTGTTAAGGGCACTTGCATCATCGGTATGCTGATATGCTGCGCGGCCTCCGGAAATGTCAGCATCTGCTTGTGAAATGTCTCTGTTTGCCCCGGTGGCTGCTTTATTTGCCTCAATATGGACACGTTTGAGCCGCACGTATCACGCGAGCGCCTTCCCGGGTCAGCCCGAGGCAGCCCTGGTTCTATGCATTTTCCTGTTCCTAGAGGTTTGGGATGGGATGCTCGGGAACCTTCTCCATTTCTCTCCTGGGAACAAGAGGGACGAGGATGAGTCTACGCTTCCATCACGACGTCTACATTGCCGCTCGATCACTGGTCTTTTGGGCCCATCTTTGCTCCCAAGCGGCAATCGAAAAGTGCGAAGTGTGCCGCAGATAAGATTATTCTCATTTTTCGAACCAGGCAGCTTGTAGCGGCTCCGGTTCGGTTCGGCATCTATGGCACCCGTCTCACCGATCGCGCTGCTCTACACCCTCCTCAGGCGGGATGATGACACTGGTGTAGCATCTTCTTGCGACGACATCACCGGCCCCTGCATTGAAGTCGTCTGCGCCTGGCCGCTGTCAGGTCAATACGGTTTCGGCCAGCGGGTCTTGTAAGTGACGCTTCTCCACTGATAGCCACCAATCGGCAGTTCGACCGAGTAAGGAACTTGGCAAATGCTTGTACCAACCTCGATCGCAGGACTAAACTTTCCTAGCGCAAAGACTAACACAGTATGAGACGGTAGATACTACATCCTTGTCGTCGTCTGTGTGGTAGCCCGAAAAGAGGAATGGACTCGCGCTGTCTGTCAAGCCGCCGCACTGCTTGTGCCCGCCGTTGCAGCAATCCACGGTATCGTCTTGGCATCGTTCCATGTTGACGGTGGGTGAGAGAAGAGACAAGACTCCCGCCACTGATCAAGCTCCCCAGCTAACTGGCCGACGATCTAGGTGCCACAGATATGGATATCTATGGAGCCTTGCAGTTCTGCTCAATTGGCATCCTGGCAGCTCCCGTCACCGTAAAATTATCATCGACCTTCTTCTATGACCCAGGACGGAACATCATCTTCCTGTGGACTGGGCTCATTCTGTCAGGTGAGATCAGGCTCCCTCAATAGCGAATAACGTGCGCCCACTGACTAGAGTCAGGTCTGTTGAGCTTGGCCGTCGAGTTCTACCGGTCCGATACCCATCCATGCCAGACCGGCGGAACGAGTCCAGTGCCTAGTCTTGGAAGATTCCCTTATGGAGACGGAGACATATGCGGCTTGGTTTGCTCTGAAGCGAGCGGCCCGTTTTCCAAGCTGAGGCAGGGACCGACAAGCGAGATATACGTTGTTCCCAAACCAGTGACGCTCCCTTTCGGCATGGCCATGTTTCTGGCTGCGGCCGAGTGTGTGCCCGCCATTCTGTCCTTGGTTTCGATGTGGAACAAGATATTGGAAATCAACTGGAAGGCACGTCGAGGGCGTGGTGGTCCAGTGAAGGAGCAGGCAGAGGATCAAGGCGTCATCCCCGGGACAAACGGTGCTACTATGAAGGGCATGAAGGACGTTAATCAGGCCATCAGGTCTCTGTTGAGTGCAGTCGAGGTGCCTGTATTGGGAGGTGCCTGGATAGCTGTCCTTGTCATCGGGGAGATCAACTTTTGGAGCCCCCAGGTTAGATACCACACTGAGCCAATTAGCAGCATCGGTAAGTAGCCCCTATCTTTCCTAATTATGTACCTAGGCTTACTCCTACAGGCCAATGGGGAACAATTCTTGCGACCGGGATGGCCGGCATCGGTTCGCTCTACGTGTGGCTGGCAGGCGGTAACGAGGAGCTCGCTAATACTACTACCACGAGCCACTTTAGTTGTCCACACTGCCACGGCCGTGGGCAGCCTGACAGAATGTTCGACCAAGGAGAAAGCCCGCGAGACAGCATAGCCCATCATGAACATCACGAGAACCGTACTGGGTCAGAAGCCGGACTTTCTACGGCAGATTCCACAGGGGAGTGGGAGGCTCGGCGAAAGATTGCCAATGCTCTAGGGAAGATCGGCAACTATTTCGGCAACCCAGCAAAAGACCCCTTTGGGGCTGGTGATTTCAGGACGGGGGCCTGGCCTCGAATCCCAGGAGAGGCCCAGCGCAATGACCGAATGGCCGAGCACGACGATCGCTACAGCATTATGGAAGGACCGAGTAGTCCGCGGGAGTCTCAGGACGGCGGCCCCAGCAGTGATAGTGTTTCGGTCGCACCAACGCCAGCGTCGCCGACATCACCAACATCACTTCCATCCCAAACGAGGGGCTCAAGGCCACATACAAACTCGTTTCCATCACGGATGTCTTCTCGCCATTCGTCATTTGACCAGCCGAGGCCAGCTGGGGCCCCTCACGATCCAGGACTTCGCCCTACAGAGCGACGCGCAACGTTAGAAGTCCCGCCGTCGGCTTACCATCGATGAAGATAAACACCATTAGAAGTAGAAGTGGGTTGATTAATTAGACAGATGGTTAACCTGCAGCTAAATGAGAGGTCATTTCATGCAATGGGAGCATTGATTCATCATCTGCCAGGTCAAATCCACCAAGACTGAAGCGAAACAGCGTTGTCACTTTCATAAACTTCATTTCATCATCATTGCAAATCGACACGACGCTTTTTACCCTCACAACAAGGCGTCTTCCTACTTCGCCGATCAAGCCAACCAATTGATCGACAAGCGTCACTGTAGTACCTGAGTCTACCTCTCTCAATGATCGACAAAGCAATTTTCGATGGTAGGTCAGCCTGAGAGGCCAAGAACATGACCATACCTAAGCGCCGTATTACAGACAAAGGGCATTGGGATCAAGACCAGAAACCTCTTGCAAGTCGAAAAAGTCGATGCCGTCCAGCCAGACACTAGCAGCCGCGGCCAGCGCGTCTGCCTCGTGCTCATCGCTGTTCGCAGGCGCATGCCCCATATGATCATCATCGCCGGGAGAATTCAAGACCGCAGACGCCGTCCGCCTGAGCGCACGGTGGACCGTGTCGGCCGTCGGCCAATGCTGGCTCAACGACTTGAGCAGCCCCAAGATGAGTATCACGCGAGCGCGGTGCTGCTTCAGACAGACGTCGGAGCCTCGCAGATGAGTCGTGCAGACCGCAAGTTGCACCAGGGCACCGAGGGCCAGGGGATAGACGTAGAACGGGCTGTGTATCGAAGCGGGTGACCTGAGCGCAGCGAGCATCGTTAGGTGCTTCGATGCCTCCACGGCCTTGACCGAATGCACATTTTCGCGGTTGCAGGGGCAGAAAGCTTTCATGCCCTGGCCGTCAGGAATATTAGGGGCATTGAGTGTCGGAGAGCGAAGCGCTCCTCTGGGGAAATGGAGCAACATCGTTGCATAGCTTATCATGACGTGTGCCTGGAACATGATGATGTCGAATCCGCCGTACGTGTTGATGATCTCTGCCTCGGCCTTTGCAGGGGGCAGATGTAGTGACCACGAGGCCAGGGCATTGTCTACCATCTGCACCTCGTCCCGATGGACACCCTGAGGTCCGGTGATGGACAGGACTTGCCCGAGGATGTGAGCAGCCTTAATTCTATAAGAGAAGGAGGAGAAGACAGTATCTGTGTCGGCGAGGATCTGGTCCTCAAAGTCGGCCCACGATGGTGGACAGGGCGGGATGGTTGCTTGCTCGTAAGCATCCTCGTCACTGGGAAGGAGGACGTCCGCTTGTGTGCTTGTTGTCTCGAGGGTCAGTTTCCGTTGAAGTGCCGCCGCGTAGCTTTCAGTGATGAATAGCTCGTGCCAGGTCCTGCGGAGACTTTCTTGCACCATCGCACAACTTTTGCCATATGTAACGGCGAAGTCACGCTTGTGCATGCCCAAGCGGACCGCAGCCGCGATTGCTTGACTTAGGGTCTTGGCGCCTGTTTGGACGTCGTCTCGTGCAAACTGAGTGATTGCCATGAGGAGACAGGCCTGGACCAGGTCTACTGAGTCTGACCCTGCAGTTGCGATTTGGTCGGCTGCCCTAGCCCATAAAGTGGTACGGTAATGTTCAGGGACAGCCGATGAGAAGTGACTCCCTATTGCTTCCACTACCGCTCTCAAACAAGGAGCGTACTTGGAATCCCCATACATCCTCCGGGGCAGGAGGATGGGGTGTGCCAAGTGGAAGTTTACATAGAACAAATTGACCAATCGGCCGTCATCCGTCAGACTTTGCAGAGACTCTGGTGATGCTGGGACTGGATTTGCGGCAGATCCGCCCGGTACAACTCGGCGGTGGGCGTCGGCAGGGTCCGTATGCGTCGACTCACTGCCGACGGGGTTGGCTGGATTGGATGGTACAGAATGGGCCTGATAGGGCACAGGATCGAGGTCTAGCACCGCGATGTTGGACGGATCCACCGGGTCGCCGTTGGACAGGCTGGCTGCGCGCTGAGGGCCTCCTCTGACCTGCCTGATGGCCCGCTTCCGCCCCCGACGTGAAGGGGTGAAGTGGCAGCCGGCATTACTCGCGGTGCAGCGGCCGCAGACAGGTCTGACCCCGTCGCACTTGAGATGTCTGTCGCGGCACTCTAAGCATGCCACGGGAGCCGGGCGACTGCTCGATTTGTTATCGTCATTTCCGCTGTTCAAGTTGCTGCTGAGACCGGCCTGCGGGCGAGGCAGCGAAGCGCTCGTGCCGTCCGACAGCGACATGGCGCGAGTCGTCTCGGAAGACGACCAGCTAGGCCCGAGGCAGTCTGGGCAAATTCCAGCCCGGAAAGTCGGACGGATGCGGACCTTGCGGCTGGATGGCAGGCAACTTCAAGTTGGCGACCTTCAGGCAACCCCGGTTGCTCCGTCTGAGTCGGCGTTTTGTGAAGATGGCCGGACCGTAACATGCAAAGCTTGCGGGGCCAAGCACCCGGGCACGTGACCGTAGTGACATTTCTTAGACCAGGACGAAAGGCGTCGGCAACTATGACCACGCGCAGACTACGCATATTGCCGTATCGTCATTATTTCTGTCATCATGATCACTTTCCTACACCTTGGGCCCATCTTGCGTCCCGTCAGCTTGCGTCCTGCTGCAAGCTGCACAGTCCCAGTTGTGAGTCCTTCGAGCGTACGCCATGCTTAGACGACGATACCCATGTAACTGCAACCCATTGACTCGACCAGGAACTACTACGATGATCACAATCTGCTGAGGAAGTAATCCTTAAATTCGCGAGTTCGAGTGCAATTGATCTTGAAAAATTATGAAATCAAGTTCATCCGAGTTGAGGAATGGTTGTATAAACATGCAGACGTGATGGGTCCAACCGGGGTTCAACTGCGGCAACTTTCGCTGTCCTACTTCAGCTCCGGAACTGTCTTGGCCTGTCCTTATGAGCATGCATTCACTCCATCCAAGTCGCCTTTTGACTTTCGACGAAGATTCCATATCCCTCTCAAACGCAATATCCTCCGAATAAGCCTATGTCGCTGCACGGTGCCCGCCGGCTCCGCCCAGACCACTTCCCCGAGGCCCCACTTAAAGAAAACCCCGAGGTGTTAGCTCCTCTCATTTGCATGGATAGACCGCGGAACCGGTTCCCCGGTTCCGGGCTCCTGTCTGTATGAGCCTTCGTGCTCTCATGGTAGCTTCGGGGTCTCAGTGGCATTGCTAGAAGTAGTAGCATATTTAATACATCCGGAGATGGTCGCCAGTGTGCGAACCCGAAAACACATTTATATATTTGTGTGAAGGTGTAACAAGCGGGTCACTACTCGCCAGCGCCAGCGAGATCCGCGTGTGCCCGCAATGCTGGCTGATATTTACACCCTCCCTCTGAATACTGGCACTATTGCTATCTTAATTCCTCAGAAGCTAGTTGAGAGTTATCAGCTTTCATCTATAATCTTTTAAGAAGCTGAGCAGGAGACACTGCATGCTTGATCGCGGAACTTTTAACTATGAGCCCATATACATGTTGTGGCATTCCAATGCAAAGGGTCTGCAACCATATGTTGGCCCTTTTAATGCATATGGTAAGTTTGCAATATGTTAGTCCCGGATTACAGCGCCTCATCCATGCAATCTCGGGGCAACGGAGAGGTAGGTACTGCGCCGCACGTAGCGTCCCTTGTTGGTGCTCTGTTTGTTACCGCGCACAGTGCGGTGGATTTCGTGCAACTGCCAACTGGAAGCCTTGCGATGGTCATGTTGGCGGGTGGGGTCTGCTGCTAGGAGCCAACTTGCATGGCGCCTGCACCAGTGTTCAAACGACTTGGCTCTAGCCCCCCCCCCCATTTTTCCTCCTCCAAGGGCCCCATTGCATGTGCAGCTCAGCAGCACAGCGACTTCAAAGTGCGAATCATCGGATGACCTCCGGAAAGGCTCTCTCTCTTTCTGCTGTTTTCACAAATCGAGTAACGGCCGCGCCTCTTCCCAGGCAACTGAAGTCCAAGCAAGCAGGTTATTCAGCTGCTCTCCTTGCTCTCTCCTTGTTCTTCTCCTTTCTCTGAAGCAAATAACGATTGAAATTTCCCTCTCCTGCCACTGCCACTTGGAATCCACCTGTTGAGCGACATTCTTGGACTTGCTTCCCAAATCACCTAGACTTCGTTAACCCGACTTCTAATCTACGTGATGGGCACCATCGATGTCATCCTCCAAGGAGCCAAATACGCCGCATTGATCTTCATACCACATGTCAGTTCCCACTGAAATGATATTCTGATTATCGACTAATCCGCCGCAGTGTTTTCTTATCGCCAGTTATCGGGTGTTTTTCCATCCCTTGAGCAAGTATCCTGGGCCATTGGCTGCCAAGCTCTCCGATGCGTATGCCGGGTTCTATGCCACATTCATGCGCCTCCACTTGGCCACAACTCGGGACCTAGAGAACTTTGGTGAGTCTTGCGCACTGGGTTTGGCTTCCTATTCCTCGTACTGACGCTCCAACAGGCCCGGTGATACGGCACGGCCCCAATAAGCTCATCTTTAATTCGGCTGAGGCCCTCCAAGGTACGATCACGGCTCAGTCTGTGACCGCTTGAGCCACAAGTGTACATTCGTGCTAACCTGATTAGATCTTTACAACAATGAAAGAGTGACCAAATCATGGGTGTACCTGCTCACCCCCGCAGCTGAAAATCCCAGTATATTCAACACCCTTGACAGACGCCAACACAGCATAAAACGACGGCTCATTGGACAAGCCATTAATGATAAGGCGATGCGAGACTTCGAACCGACTATGATGGGGCAAATCGACGTGTTTATTGGAATCATTCGTGAAGCCAGTAAGACCTTTACTCCGGTCGATATGACTGACGGTCTGAAACGTCTCGGAGTGGATAGTATCGTAGGTCTCCTAGCATTTGGATTCCCTCTCAATTTGCAGACCGATCCGACGTACCGGTTCATGATCGAAGGGCTTAGTTTTGGCGGGTACCGCGTCCACTGCCATATGCAGTTCCCACTCATAAAGAGGCTCGGTATTCAATACCTGCTGTTTATCGCGGGATGGTTCCAGCGAGCGAAATACGGGCGGATGATGCACCGGATGATTCGTACTCGTCTCTCTGAGGATAAGCATGCTAGACACGACCTCTACTCTGTTCTTGCTGATCACCTCGATAACTCCACCGCCGATGGAATGACAACCAGCCAGCTTTGGTCTGAGGCCTTGTTCTTCTTTCCCGCAGGTCCGTACTCACTCGAGCCCCTTTAATGACCGCTACCATTCGCCCTGGTGCATTGCAACACTGACTCGAAGACAGGCGGGGAAACCACTTCTACCGCGCTGTCTGCACTGTTCCTTCTATCTGTCCAGGAACCCCGAGATATACGAGAAGCTCGCTAAAGAAGTCAGGAGCACATTCTCCAGCGACGTAGATATTCGCGGTGGTTCCAAGCTCGCTGGTTGTCGGTACCTCCGAGCTTGCATTGATGAGGCTCTTCGTATGTCGCCGCCAGTTCCTGGGACGCCATGGCGAGAGCTATACCTCAATGAGCGGGACCGTCCTTTGATAATCGACGGCCACGTCGTGCCCCCTGGTACTCAGGTCGGCGTATGCTTCTACTCCCTCCACCATAACGAGAAGTATTTTGCCGACCCCTTCACTTACCGCCCGGAGCGCTGGCTGGTCGACGACGAGGTACAGCTCCGTTAAATGAACTCGGCGTTTTGTGCGTTCTCCGTGGGGCCTAGGGGTTGCGCTGGCAAGGTTATGGGATATCTGGAGGCTAGCCTTGTAGTGGCTAAGACAATTTGGGCGTTTGACTTCAAGCCTGCGCCCGGTGGAAAGTCGGGGGGCGGCGCGCCTCACAAGAGAGAGGGGAGGAACGGGAGGATGAATTCCAGTTGTACGATATCTTCGCGTCCATGCATGTTGGACCCGAGTTACTGTTGACCCCAAGAGGTGGCGACTCGTAGCGTAAGGCTACTAACGCCTTTTGAGGAAGGAAAAGAATTACGATCCCTCGCTTGCGTCTTAAAGAACGTCAAACAAATGAATCAATCCGTTGAGATTATCCCCAACCACCGAACTCCGGTTGAGGAGCACATGTGCAGCTAAAGGTGTAGTATTATTAGGCCAACCGCAGTGACCACGGGAAATGGGCGCTCTATGGGAAATCATCAGTACATAGCATCTCGAATTTCAGAACAAAATGCGTGTGGTGAGCTGAAAAGATCGAATAATATCACGAGGTCTGAAGGAAATGCAGGTGCTTTGTGATTTGGACTTATACTCTAGATCCACTTGACGATAAAGCTGGAATGAAGCTAGCAAATTCCTTCGTAGTGCAATACTCGCGAGGGTTTTTATGCGAGAAGGTGGATTTAGAGAACCCAGCTCATATGAACGACCCGCGTCAGCACTATCTATCTTTTGTTCAGCCCTTTTTTTGCTCGGGTCTTAATACAGAACTTACGATCTTGGGCCAGTTAGGATGAACTTTAGTTAGCCGTCGAGGCTATCTCCGCCAGCACCAAAGTCTATGCGTACACGGTGAACATCACCAATTTGACCGCTGTAGACACTGCCCTCGATGCATTCGCCCGACATTGTGCGAGTCGCATGATCGATATTCTCGTTGCCAATGCAGGCTCACTGGGGCCCTTGAGCTCAATCCGGGATGCAAACCCCTTGGAGTGGTGGGATGGATTCGAGATCGATATCAAGGGCAACTTCAATCTCGTCCATGCTTTCCTCCAAAAGGCGAATGAAACATCGGCAATAATTCATCTGTCGTCGGGCGTCGTCCACGGCCCGTACTTTCCGAATGAGTCCAGCTACTGCGCTTCTAAGGCTGGTGCAGTCAAGCTTTTCGAGTACGTGCATCACGAAAATCCGGACATGTTTGTGCTGTGCTTGCAGCCCGGCCTCGTGGCAGAGACGGGAATGTCTCCAGGGTTTGAGAACATCGCAAAGGGTATACAAATGGACATGGCTAGTCTGCCATGGGATGATGGTAAGTCGAAACCGTTGCATGAGGCCATCCGATTCGCTTGCTGACTGGGTCTGTCTGCTTCAGTTGAGCTTCCTGGGGACTTCGTGGTCTGGGCCGTGAGCCCAGAAGCTCGTTTTCTCAATGGCCGGTTTGTGTGGGCGAATTGGGATGTCGACGAGCTGAAAGATGACAGGGATGCCATCTTAGCCAACCCTCAAAAGTTCACCCTGGGCTTGGTTGGGAGCTGAGGCTGATGCCAAGGTCGTGTGAACACATCCGCAATGACCACAATTAAAAGTCGAGATATATACGAAGGCACCCAGCTAGACACATGATTTGACACAACAATCATAGATGTTGGCAGTCTAATGGCATTTGGGCTACAAAAACTCATTGCTTGAAATGTCTCCAAGCCGGTAGAACCTTGACATCAACCTGCAGACTTTTGCAAACCCCGTCGTGTCCTGTGGTCCCGGATCAATTCACACCGGTCAATTCACACCGATTTGGTAGAGTCGGAGTACTGGCCCATCTGGTACGTGAACTCGTCCGCCTCGTCCTCGAAAGCTGCATCCCAGCATTTCTCCTCGGGATTCCACTGCCAACAAAAAAGCCCAGTGGCCCATCTTGATGATTCGTCCTTTTCATAGAACACGCCGAGGTCTTTGAGTTGGTGGCGTCGCACAGTCTGTTGCAGCTCCGTCGCAAGATGGCCTGGGAAGTCGGTACCAACCGCTATTGCTACCCCATTGTCGTAGTTTGGCACAAACCGGTAGGAACAAGACTGAATCCAGTAATCATCCTCAGACCAGTAATGATGCTCCATACTGACTGGGTACCCAAGCCTCAGGCCGAGTTGGATTGCCTTGAAATACACAACCGCGTCGAGTTTCTTGATGTTGACTGTCGTGATTTTTGGCATGCTCCTGAAGTCGGCAGCATTGAAATGAGCCCTTGAACTAAAGCTGTGCAGGTTTCGTGGGCAGTGGCTGTAATCTCCTCTTCACTCTTGTTCTGATTGTCCACCACCCCGAGCAGGCTCATCACCTTGAGGTTTGGCCAGGCTGACCTACCTGCCTCGAGGAGAAAACGTGGTAGGCCATCCGCATGCTTGAGGACGAGTCGCACCAGTTTATTGGTCCAGGAAGGCGAAAAGGCAGCAACACAGTTGACCGCAGGCATCCAAGCGACTCGTGCGTCTGGGTATCTGGATGGGTGCCAACGTGCTACGAGCTCCAGGTGATTCAAATCTGGCTCAGTGCTTGCCAAGGAGATGATGGCGTCTGAAACAAGGAGTCAGTAAACACTCATTACAGGAAACCTGGTTCCAATCAAATAATAGTCGATCCGTAGTACCACAACTCATATGTACTTACCGCTAGCCTGTTCGGCTGATTTGTCCACGTGGTCGAAAAATGGCAAGCCAAGGGTGACGTGACGTATATTTGGGCACCTTTGGTGGAGACAGAGGGAGCTTGAAGGGTGCAGCATAAATTCAAACCCTACCTCATACAAGGCTCCAATGATATACACCTTAGGAAGTGTACCGAACTTGCAGTTGAGGTTGGTCCCAGGTGCGTGGTAGTCGAGCAAATCGTTGTGCATGCCCAGACAAACTTTCAGCAGACCCTGCCGTTCCCTATCCACATGGCTCCAATCCTTCATGATGTTGAAAAGGTGCGCAATTGCGGCTCCAACACAAGCCTCCGGTCCATCTTCGCCAGCATTTTCGGTTCTTCTAATGTTAAGCGAGATGTTGTTCAACCTTCCGGGGCGTTTGCCACATATTTCGGCAAACTCGGAGAGGCAGGAGGGTGTGATTGAGATACGGTCGAGCAAGAGCATCTCAATGGCCCTGTTCCACTCATAGGTGATTGATGCCAATGGAAAGAGGAATAGCTTTTCGGTCTTCCAAGAACGATTGACCTTGAAGGATTCTCGGCGAGCGACTTCCATGGCTTCATTGATGATAATAAACCTGATGTCTTCTGGCAGGTCAGGGTACTTGGTAAAGACCATCTGTGTTGACGGCAAGTCTTGAGGATTCGCCATTTTCGAGTGGCTGTGGCGGTGTACGCCTGTCGAGCTCGCTGGTCTCGTGTCAGTAAAACAAGGCGATGTAGGTTGGGTTCATGGAGGATGCTGTCAAGGGATGTTTCAGCTTAGCATGCGACATCTTAAGTATTGCAGCAGTTGAGATAAATTATATCTATGAATGAAAGACTTGGAATGTATTTGTTGACTCATAAAGGTGAAGTAATCACCTTGGCACTTCACCATAAGGTTACAGCTTTGTAAATTCCTACAAGGTAAATCCATCACTTATCCACAAAAATGAGCACGGAGCTGAATACACTGCAAAATTTTGATAAGATGCAAAGACCAAACTCCACTGTCATCGTCACTTTCAGCTTGACTCTGTGTCCTTCCCAGAGCTTGGAGAGTATGTTGGAACCAAACTATGCACCCCCGTCTTGGTTCCAATGGCTGCCCCAAGCAGTCCCTAAGTCAACGGCCATCTTCCTTCCAAGTGCCTTGAGTTTCTTTCTGTCTCGAGCAACTCTGAATGAGCTTTGATTTTGAAATCAGACATTTGCACCTGTAAAAACGGAGGGTACACCGGTACATCAATTCACACTATAGCTATAGCCAATTAGAGCATATCATTCATTCATCCACGCCCAACACCTACACACCCAAGTTGACTTCGGTGTGTGAATTGTCTGTGTTAGTTGGATGTATGGGTGATGGATATGGGTGATGGGTATGGGTGTTGGGTATGGGTTTTGGGTAAGGTGGTGACATGCAGGTGCACCCTCTGTTGTTGTAGGTGCATCCTCCGTTGTTGTAGGTGCGAATCTCCGTATTCTTGACCTTGGCAGGCCAAATGATCTTCATAGAGCTGCCCAGAAACAGCGGTGTAATATATCTCTATTCTATGCCCTTGGTGGAGGTCTATAGGGTAGCAGGCTGTACAACACTACAGCACAATCCCGGAACAGTCTGACAGTGTTTCAGGTTGCCCTGACTGCCTTGTAGGTGTGACTGCCCTGACGGCCGCTTCCATGTCTGCGCCAATTAGGATGCGTTCTGCCATCAACTACATCCTTCATCCTTACAGGAAAGGTTTACTTCTATTTCTGAAAACACCTGCCATGAACATTAAATTTCATCGGATCCTATGACTACTTGTATAAAGTAAGTGCACACAGTGAATCACAATATACATCAGATTCCTTTATGCTATTTATTGGTGTTATATTCTTGTCGCTATCCTACTACAGTTTTCACTGCTCCTGTACCAGGAAAGACTGGGTCTGGCAAACATGCCATTGTTTGTGTTTGAAGTGGGCATATGAGTAAGTTCTGAGAACGGAAGGGGCAGAGGGCACAAAAACGTACGGCCCCCCTATTCACATGACCACCCCATTCACTGGGCCCCCAATGACTGCCATAGCTCCGTCACTCCTCTCTTCTAATGTCTCATGACTGTGAGACAAAGGAGAGGGTTAGTACGAAAGGCTCGTTTCATTGTCTGTTACTTTTGACCACCCCCTCTGGCAATACATTGACTTACACACCTGTCCTTGTGCCGTGATTGACATCTAATTTCAAGTGACTGAATGTGATAGGAACTCTCATGTCCTTACCATTGTGAGCACCTGGCCCTCCATGCTCAGCTGCCCCTGACGAACGCTTACTCACACTATCCCTTGAGTGTATTCCGATTATAACTGTCGCCTCCTTCACCGCCACTGATGTTGTTCATGGATGTATTTGGCTCCCACAAACGCTCAAATGGAGCCATATTATGACTTTCAGTCAGCATACTGTTTCCAGCGCTAGCTACGATCACCCTTGGACCACCTGCCCTGGCGCCATTTCTATAGCTTCTTAGTCCGTGCGGAGTGAATGATGTCTTGGATCTTAATATCGGTCGCAGTGTCGGTATTGACACAGCTAGTAGGACAAGGTATGCTTCAACTCTGATGGACGACCTGATCAGTAAAAACAAGTGATGTTGAGTTTCACGAACACGTTTAAGTAAAGAGTGCGGTGAGACCACATTACTTACGTCCACCAGATTGCTGGCTCAGCCATAGCATCTATATACATCCAAATCAGCTTCGTCCCCATCATATCGCCTATTGTCACACGGAATTGGCCCACAGGTTGTGTCGTCTGTCTCGGTTATCGCCTGCAGCTTGACAGTTCTGACAATGGATGCAGCCATAGCGCTATCAACTCTAAGCAATGTGGTCAGTTGATTAAAATGGTCGAGGAGGACCTACAAGATTCCCAAACCCATCACGGCGCTCAAGGCCACTTTCTGTTTCGATTCCATGTTTGCATTCCAGAACAGACTGGTCGGAAACAAGGCCAGGACTAGGTCCACAATAGAGCTTACGGCTAGGCAGAGGCAGTTGGATCAAAAATGCTCTTTGCCAGGAATGGTTTGGACCTGGCTTACAGCCCTGGAGGAAGCCCGCATATTGTTGTACCCTGGGGTCCCAACAATCGGCTTGGATATTCTTATCCCAGAATCCCGCAATGGGCCTGCATTGGACCATGCTTATAATGACTGTAGCGAGATCGACGACAAACTGGATGGCAATGATACTCCACAGGATCTTTGGACGCACGCTCCTAGGCCCGCTGGGCGGAAGGAGGCCAAGGAGGAGGAAGGCGAAGGAGATGCGGCCAAATCCGGGCGACATGATGGCAAAAATCTCGCTCAGGAACATCCACTTGACAGTGTATGTGATTTGCTCCGGACGAGGTGACAAGACATCTATGTGGTGACCCAATCCCCATGAAACGGAGACGGTCACGAAGATGCTGTTGATCATCGCGAAAACCTGCGCCGTGACAGCAGTAGATGATTAGCACAGTCATGCGATGCAACAATAGCCGGTCCTAACTGGCAGTACTCACTAGCGTAATTAAGATGATGTAGTCATCCCTGAAGAGCTTTCTCACGATTCTCATCCGGACGTAGAAGCGTGCTGCAACAACGACGATGGCAAAGGCTCCGAAGACCCACGCCACAGCGACAACGGCCGCCCCAAGGGTGTTGGGGGCCTGAGCAGCTGCCATTGTATAAGTAAAGCAGTACAGTCCCTATCGATAGGAACTCAGAGAAAATGTCAAGGAGTAGGAGAATACGAATCCCGCGTCAATATGGTCGAGCAAAAGAAAAGATGGACATTGTTTGCGAAGTTTTTACCGCCAAGTAGGAAAAAAACCGCTGGGGTCAGCGAAGTAAGACATTGTTGCCCATTCCGACCCGTGCTAATCTCTGCGAGGAGGGTTTCCTCGAATGAAAACTTGAGGTAATATTTGGAATTCCGGAGTGTGTCAGGCAGCCGGCTGTTATGCATTGGAACGTCGCTCGGGGAATTCATTGGGGTGCATCGCTGGGTCAGGATGCTGTGTTACCCCGGACAATATAGGCGACAGTCCAGTTTTGGGCACAGATTGGACTTACATGGACAAAAATGGATCAGGATTAACATTTTCATCCATGGGAATGATTCACCGAAATGTAAGATTACAGCGCGAGCAAAAGGACCAACACTGTACAGTGGCCCAACACTGCGGCCGGGCTGTCTGCAGCCTGATACTCCTCTCCGTTTGTGGTATATAGAGTACTAATAGGAACGCGTATGACGATCACGTACTCTTTTCCAATCAGAGGTAGATTTGATGGATCAACCAGAATCACGGGGCTCGGGCTTGTGTAACTTAATTACATCAGAATCGTAGGCTGAAAGAGCAATTGCGGCATTTCTACCGGTGCAAAGTTTACAGTATTTTGATTCTGATGCCCTATGACATGCGAACGAATCTAACAACCTCATAAGGTATGCTGCCAGAAATTCGTTTTCAGAGTACGAAGAAAACATGTGTAGTTCAATATTTACTAGTACTATTTGGTTTCGCTAACAACATTTGTACGGACCATGAGCGGCACTTTCAAACGGCACTTTGAGACTCCACAGCCCCCACAGTTTCCCAGAGTTACTATCTAAAATGGCTCTTGGCGGACCCGGACTAGGCTAACGTTTATCCCAGCCGCCCAGGCGGAAATCGTAGGGTTGCATGATTCTGGCGCTTGTCCCTGATGGCGCGTTCCTTGCAGGCCGACATCCGCATGGGCGGTGAAATTTCAAGGGGCAAAAAAATTGCTACCACCAATGGACCATTTTCATTCCTGAATTGTCACTGGTTGATCTTTTGCGAATAACCTCATCCGATAGTCTCACCCCATATTTTGCACTCCTTGTTCTTAGTCTCCAGCATGAGCGGCACTTCCCCCACGTCACAGCCGCGCATTCTAGTCGCAGGCGCCGGCATCGGTGGCCTAACAACAGCCCTCGCACTACACGCCGCCGGCTTCACAGATATTCACATATTCGAGGCGGCGTCATCCTTGACAAGCCTGGGGGTGGGCATCAATGTCCAGCCGTCAGCGGTCCTCATTCTGCGGAACCTTGGTCTTCTGGCATCTCTGGAGAAAATCGGGGTCGAGACGCAAGAGCTGAACTTCTACAACCGCCATGGAGACAGCATCCTAAGTGAACCACGAGGCAAGCGCGCCGGCTATGCGGTACCACAGTTCAGCGTCCATCGAGGCGAATTCCAGCTTCTACTTCTGGAAGCGGTCAAGGAACGGCTTGGCAGCGAGAGAATACATCTGGGACATGCTTTGGGGTCTTGGGACCAGACCGACGGCGGGGATTCCATCACCGCACATTTCGTTCGCCGCGATCGGCCTGCACGAGCAGTCAACGGAGCCGGAAGTGCAAACATTGAGCCGGCCGGAGGGGCCCTCGAGATCCCCATCATGGCTGGCTCCCTGCTCATCGCGGCTGACGGCATCAACAGCACAGCTCGTCGCTTGCTGTACCCAGACGAGGGACCACCGCGCTTCTCTGGTCGAATCCTGTGGCGCGGCTGCACCGAGAGGTCACCATACCTCACTGGCGCGAGCATGATATGGGCAGGACACGCCAACCAAAAGTTCATTGCGTACCCCATAGGCAGACGCGGATTGAACGGTGAGAAGTCACTGGTCAACTGGATCGCCGAGCTGCGGGTTCGCGAGGAGGGAGATCCAGATACCACCCCGCCAGTCACGGACTGGACCAAGTCTGTGGACAAGAACATATTCCAAGGCCCATTTGAGGGTTGGACGTGTGGTGGTCTCAAGATGGTGGAGGACTTGATAGCGCCAACGGAACACGTCTTTGAGTTTCCAATGTGCGACCGTGAGCCAGTCGAAAGATGGAGTTTCGGCAGGATGACTCTGCTTGGCGATGCCGCCCATGCGATGTACCCCATCGGTAGCAATGGTGCCACGCAGGCCATCATTGACGCCGAGACGTTGGCTTTGTGTCTTTCTGAAAGTGTCGACAACATACCAGCAGCGTTAACAAAGTATCAGGAGACAAGGCTCCCACCAACAGCCAAGATAGTATACGCGAACAGGGCAAACGGTCCGGATCACGTGTTGCAGCTTGCGGAGGAGAGGGCGCCTGATGGTTTCGAGGATGTGTATAGTGTCATCCCGAAGGAAGAGCTGGAGTCCATCGGCTCGAAGTACAAGGCTGTTGCCGGGTTCGAGATGGACGCCGTCAATGCAAGAGCAAGAGACACTGAGAAATTGGCGGCTAGATGGGGTTGAGCCACATGCATCGGGCATTCTCATGGATTGGCAATCGCCCGGTGGAATTGGCAAGAGGCTGGCCGTGCGATGCCCTCCAAAACATATCCAAGCAGGCCTGTTTTCCTTGACCAAGATAACCTGGAATACACCGAGGCTCAGCCTAACATTGCAAGAGTTGTTGAAGCTCAGACACAATCGGACAGTGCCGACTTCGAGCTCAGCGATCTAATTAATGGTCATATCTAAAGTTGGTGGCAGATGCAGTCTCTGATGGCATGCCCTTGGCGTCAACAAAGGTAGGGGGGGAAATCTGAAATAGCCGTGGCACGGTTTTTGACAATCTGTTGCTGTAGCTTATCATTCGCTGGTGCCCTGTGACGATCTATTTTGACTGCGTGTAGTGACCTAGTTCTGCATTCCTTGTTCCGTCGGGCCCACTGCCGGCCTGTCGGGATATCATGACCCGAAGTAACGACAATTTAAAGCGCAGCATCTGACAAGGTTCATTACGTTCCGAGAGCACATCCGTATCACGCGACCTTTTCATTCTTTCTGTTCGCGTTCACGTTCACGTCTCATCCCCGCCAATCGAGAATGCCCCCAATATCTGGTGAGGCAGCAGGCTCTCTCCTGGGTGCACAGGGCGCCAAGCCACTGTGGGACGACCTCGCAGGGGACGGTTTTGATCTCGAACAGCCGGATGAAGATATCGCCACTGCTGTGGTAACAAGCGTCTCTGGTCCCTGGCTTTACTGTTTCCATCCGACAATCAACCCATCGTCAAAGCCGCGTAGCGTTCTCATCCTTGGCGGTGGCGGCTATGTGCAGCTCATGGTGGGACGAGAGGGACTCGCTGTTGCGAAATGGCTTGCCGGTCTCGGCTTCTATGCTTTTGTGCTGGTCCACCGTTTTCCAACCGCTGAAACGCTACCTCAAGCCCCAGTGGACGATGCTCGTCGCGCTTTGGTGATCATCCAGGAATGGAGCCGAGAGTTGGTCGCTCGCGACTGGGACAGTATCGGTGTCTGCGGCCTTTCTTCAGGAGGGCATCTTGCTGCCTCTCTTCTCGCAGCCTATCCACAGGGCTGGAGACCAAGGTCGTCTGAGTTGCCGCCCAGACTTGACTTCGCGATTATCGGGTATGGCCCCATCTCGACGAACGCAAAGGGTCGAACGATTGTCGCCGAAAAGGCACCACTTGAACCCCCCGAGAAACAGGAGCTTTACGACACTGTGCAGCCAGATGTGCAGTTGAAGGCTGGGGCACCACCGACTTTCATAGTATACTCTGGCAGTGACCCAGTAGTCCCGGGCGTTAATGCCTATCGTCTGGCAGAAGGCCTCACCCAAGCTGGGAGTCAAGTCGAGTTGCACGTCTTTGCAGATGCTCCGCACGGTTTTGCCCTGGACATAAAGGATCTGCCCGTATCTGAGTGGCCGGAAATATGTGCGTCGTGGATGAAGCAGGTTGGCCTCAGGGAAGCTTCACAAAATTAATGGCTCTTTAAGTTATCACCATACATCATCCAGCTTCATTGAGAGCGCTGAAGTCTTTGAATTCCAATGTAATATTGGAACGAGAGCAATATCCGTAGGGCAGAGGGGGCCTTCTTGGAGTACTTAGGTTGGCATCATGATGCCACTGGGAAAGAGTTGGCAGACTGTCAGTCTCAACAATGCATGAGTCTTTTACAAGTCATTCATCAATGGGAAAGGACCAAAGAGCCTGCTCAGCCACTGTCCTTCCATAACAGCCGTTTCACGCCTTCGGATTGTATTTCAGGATATTCCGAGTGGTCGGCATTGATCAATCAGTGGAATTGGTGCCCAGCTAAGGGCCATGAGCGCCGTGACGATTGGAAAGGGTTTTGAGCAGATGGAGCAGGCCATAAACCGCCCGCCACGCTCTTTCGAGACCCGCCCCCAGCTGTCATGCATGTGGTCGAGTGCGGCTGACCTGACCTCGCATTTGATTGTCTGGGCCCCGTCGCGTTCTGAATCCGAGCACAGTTCGCCATGATCTTCAACCGACAACATACAAGGGCACCCGTAGGCCACAGAGGGAAAAATACCGTCAATATCACTTTTTCGATCTTTGAGCCAAACCTCGGCCGTTTTGTGGCTTCATATCGTACTATCATGCCGCGACGTGAAGGACGCACTGACGTCCTTTTACGATGGTATTCCAAGTGTGGACAAATGTATCTGTAAAGTGTTCTCTATGCGCCAAGTATAAATTGCATGTGGAAGGGAGGCCTTCTACTTCGTCCATTCTGTGGGTGAAACATGTACATAGATACATATCACTTCAAAACTCCAACCAGACCAGCCCAGTCATACATTGGGTCATTGTCCCCCCCCCCCCCCCGCGGAGCCAGGCGGCACTGCAGGGGAGGGAATGGGCGAGACGCAATCCATCAGGTGGCCACCTCCGGATCGTCCAGCTGTTGAAAAATATATAAGGCTTAATCCGCTGATGGATTAAGCGTTTGCTTTTTCCATAGTCAGAAGCCTGGGGTTTATTTATATAGCGTAATTAACCATTACATATCCTTAAATTATATTAAAAAGGCGCTTTAAATTAAGTCCTTTATATTTAAGTTTATAAAGGTTTTAAATTTAAAGGCTAAAAAGCTTATAAATATATAAAAAAAGCAAATACTTAATTTATTATTAAATTAAGCCTTATATAGCCTTTAATACATGTCATGAGTTTACTGCTAGCACGGACCGCTTTACTAAAAACCTAGAATTTCCAATTAACATTAAAAAGACCTAGCAGCATATAAGTACCTTATGAAGCCATATCGTTATAATACACCCCTTAATTTATAGAGTAATATTTATTAAATAAAATATATTGCTATTATATACCTTAAATATATTTTATTAATATATTTATATTTTAAATAATTTTTAAACTTATAATTTATTTAACTTTTTAATTTAAAGCGTTTTTTTAATATAATTAAAGGGAATATAATAATTAATTACGTTATATAAATAAACCCTAAGCTTATAACTATAGAGAAAGCAAATACTTAATTCATCAGCGGATCAAGCCTTATAAATCCTTTAACACCAGCCACAATAGCGAAAGTCCGAGCCGCATCACGGGCATTACAGGACTCGCAGGAGGCGGTGGCATCAATATGCTGTGTGACTGTAACACACGGAGACTCAGCCAATAGCCGCAGCCATGGCGGCTTGGAAAATGATCCTTAGTCGTCATTCCCATGGCCGGTTGATTTTGACTTTTACAGCTGAAACTGTAGTTATAGACATATGACCATTTATGGCCTTTCTTCTAGAAGGAGTCCTTTCATCTACCAAAAGCACAAAGGGAAGGGAATGAAATAAGGCGCCTGGCTGTTATTTACGACTCGAGGAAAATGTGTAAGCTTCTGTGCTGTTTAGCCAAAGCTATCAAGTACTGTGCAACGGGGTGAGCAACAGGCTTCCACCAAAACACGACTGACCCAGTATCTGGGGAGGCGATTGGTCAGGATAGAGCATGGGACATGTCGAGACAGTCATTTTGGAAACGGGTGACCTGATTTAGCCAGAGTCTGGGCAGTCTCTCTCAATGCCTTCCTCGCCCATTAGGAGCATAGATACTGATACTTTACATAAAAAGCCTGTTAATTGAATGTGCTGGGAGATGCTTGCCACCACTGGAGCTACCTAGGTACCACGGCACATACATCCTCTCACAGATGAGAGAACCCCGTATTTTTCAATATTGGACGTTGAAAAGTTCCATGGTGCGATTGCATGACGTCTTCACACGTCGACATGCTCCACGAAGCACTTCGAGAGGCCTATTTGACGATCGTTACAGGAAACCTGCAAGTACAAGAGATCCTTTCTAGGTAGTGTGCTCCTGTCGTTAGTTAAGTCCGAGTTCCGTTAAGGAGATGGGGAGTGGATATACCAAATGCAGTCCTCTCCGACTTGGGTCCAAGACCAGCATAGCTGAAATCCAGGGAGCGATTGATTCCCGGAAAGCTCACGGTCTTGTTCCGCTGCCCTTGCCAATGACGATTGGTACTCATGATTTCTGCCATCGATACAGGTCCACGAGCACATTGCTCGAAGTGCCAGACTTTCTTTCCCTTTTCACAGCAGCAGCACCCATCTTGTTACATGCTGCCGTGGAGAAGCGCTCTAGCACCCCGACCTTCGTGTCATGTCCAGCAGATCATCTCTCCCTAATTCGAAAAAGGACGCTGATGGTCCCGCCGACTCATTTTGCGCCGAAGTGGCCACCACGGACCCATAAACCGTAGAACACTGGATTCGACAAGTCATAGCGTCGATCTTCGCGAAATCCACCAGCGCCAAGGGTGCTGCTCCGCAAACTTTAATATCCCATGGCTGGTAGCATGAATAGCCTCAATGTCCAAAGGTCGGCCTTGGTAACTTCCTATAGCCACCTGCTCAACCATCAGAACGCCGGGCTGAGCCGACCGGCGAGAAATCCCGGCAGGGCTGGAAAAATAGCCAATATAGGAATCAACGATACCAGTGCCTCGATCCCTCGTCGCCGTGGTGATGGTTTTGCCGTGGATCTCGCATATAGATAGACGGGGAGCACATTTGACAATGCGAGGACAAGTTTCGCTCCAGTCCACGGGAAGTCGGAAGCGAGCCTGAGAGCCGACGAGTTGAATAATGTGTGTATGCGAGCCGGTATTGCAATCAGAACGTCCAACGGAGCTGCGATGGTCATCCCATGCTCCAAAACTGCCAAGGTTCGCTGCTGGAAGAGTGTTGCCTGATATTGGACTGACGCTCCGAAAAGAAAGAAAGGCGATAAAAAGACAGAAGAAGACAAAGAAGAGAAGACGATGGCTGCCATCTGATGGTAACGTTGTCCTGGAAAAGACGAAAAGGACTTCGTTGAATATGCATTGCTCGAGCTGCTTCTAACGAAAAGATGAATCGTATGTAACGCTTGTAGTATTTCGAATGCGCGCATCTCTCGTTGTGTATCTCTCGTTGTGTATCTCTCGTTGTGTATCTCTCGTTGTGTATCTCTCGTTGTGTATCTCTCGTTGTGTATCTCTCGTTGTGTATCTCTCGTTGTGTATCTCTCGTTGTGTATCTCTCGTTGTGTATCTCTCGTTGTGTATCTCTCGTTGTGTATCTCTCGTTGTGTGTGTATCTCGATTGGTCCCCCGAAAGGTTAAGCCGGTCCGCCACGTCAAGGCTCGAGATATGGCCGGTTTTTTTTTTTCGGTTTTTATATAGGGAGAGAGAGAGATAGAGAGAGAGAGAGAGAGAGAGATAGAGAGAGAGGGAGGGAGGCTTCTAGGTAGTCCTCCCGGGCGCACGGAGAGGGTAGGGGATGGTGCGGCGGCGGATGGTGGTGATGATGATGGTGTTGGTGGTGTGGTCGATGTCGGTGATCAGGCGGGTGGCGCTATATAGCATCTTCGTCAGTTATCGAGAAAGAAAGCTTCGTACACTTCCTGTGCGACAGGTTTAACTGGGGTCGAGGTTGAAATAGAAACATTGGAGATTCGGAGGACCACGATGAAATTACTTGCTCGGGGCCCACCCCCACGAGCTAGGACAACTTGTGGCCCCCCCCCAACTCCCCCCCTGCTCTCGCGCCGCTTCGCTAGATGTATATTAATCTTTGCAATTTCTCATCGGACTTCTAGCAGTGGATTGACCCATTGGACGTACTACACCACAACTCCAACGGCACCAGGGCACCGACCCAGATGCCCACACCAGCCGTCAGCCCAATATTGGCCGAAGTTTCGGCCGACAACATGACGTCGGGGGGAGGGGGGTGTATGTAAAGATTTTGATTATGAAATGTAATAAAAATTCTACCTATAGACAAGCAAGGCGGCACAACGGGGCGATGGACACGATCGGAGGGCTACCAGATTCAAGAGAGAGGACCCAAAAGCACGCTCAAAATATCAGACGCGATATAGCAGTGTCTGTCGACACACACTCTGAATGCATGGCAACCGCGGCCCACAACCCACACCGCATCACCAGCACTTTCTGTAAGGGCAGAAGGCTTTTTTCGTCATGGCAACTGTTGAAGACTTGAAGCTGCTTCCCCCAACCCCGAGCCATTCTACTGGAAGGAGCGTACGGCAGACAATTTGATAGCCATATATTGAAATACTGCAGCGATTTGTAATGCACGAGGTAATTCCAAGGGAATGGAGCCATCACCTGTTCAAACTCTCAATAAAATCAGATAACTTTCTGTTTAATTCGTAGCAATTGGTATACCATGCAATGTAACTGCAGATGTTGGTTTTTGTAAGATTTTCCTTCTGGACTATTCTTTACGCTGTAATATATGATAGTTGAGCCTCTGCCGCGCCTTAGCAATTGTGGCTCCCTCAGCAATTAACTTCCGGATGCCACATCGACCACTTCCCGGGCCCGGTTCCGCGGAACAACAACGCCGTTGGCATCAGCAACCACAATGTCGCGAGGGTTGACGCGCACTTTGCCCATACTGATCGACTCGTTGGCGCCTCCCACTTGCACACGATCTTTGCCGCTTGTCCACAATGAATCGCTAATGACCGTCTAAATTAGTCATTTTATTCCCTCTGTCTGAACAGAAGGCACTCGACCTATTCTCTTGCCGGCTCAGGTCTGCGGCTAGCAGTCGTCATGAGCTTGCACCTCAAGGTCCCGCCAACGATCTTGCCCGACTTGGCCGCTCGAGAGCACAGGAATCGCGTCTGGTGGACTGCGTACACTTTCGACCGCATGTGGTCGGCAAATTTAGGTTTCCCTCCCGCTATTTCTGATAACGAGATGAAGGTGGACCTGCCATCAAATCCACACGAGCAGATTGACACGGCAGACTTCCCGGATCGCTCTTATTTCGTGGCAAGAATCACCCTTGCAAAATTGACGTCCCGTACAATGAACGCCATCTACGGATATGACGCTCAAGCAAAGTCTCTCTCCGAGAGAGTACAGTCGGCCTTCAGAGACTTACGGACATGGATGGACGAGCTCCCAGAATCCCTCAAGGTCGACGGCACGGCTCAATCCAAAAGCGATTCCAGGGCGTGCTCCTTGCAGTTGTTCTTCAATCAGGTGATGTCCTACGCATCGTACTTTGTTTTCGGACAGCAACTAACTCATTGGCTTTGAAGCTACTCATTACTTGCCACACGCCCAATCCTGCTACATGTTCTCAAAACCCGGCTGTTGCAGCCACAGACCGAATCGGACATACCCGAATCCGCCCTGGCGCTTTCTGAAGCTTGCGTGACATGTGCTCGTCACTCGTCTGGACTCCTAACTGACAACTGGACCAACGGATCCCTAATGGTCTTCGACTATTTTGACACGCAATACATGTTCTCCACCGCTACAATTCTCGCCATCTCGGTACTGTGGGAAAGGAACGCCTGTTCGATGGATAGAGATAGACTGGAATGTGTTGCGCAATTCCTCCTACAACTCAAACTCACTGGCAATCTTGCCGCGGCGGAATTTCATCAGCACGTCAATGCTTTAATGCCTCTGTTGGAGGCAAGGGAGTCGGGGTCGAAAAATCAAGAAAGGCTCCAAGCAATGCCCGATGCTGTAGGAGACCCGTCATTCGGTGTGACCTCCGCCCAAGGCTATTCAAACCCACGAGCAGCAACCGAAATTACGCTCACCGAGCCGCTATTTCAAGACCTCTTGGCTCAACCAGCGACGGACCTTCAGTTCATTGATCAAGCAAGCTTCATGGACGTCGATCCCAGTCTGTACTGGTCAAACTCAGGAATTTGAAGCTCTCAGTATGGAGGTAGACGTGTCACCATTGAGTCTCCACCCTTGGGCACCAGCAGGTTGATGAATGAAATCATGTTGATCTATGTACAGAGCAGGATATCTTTAAAAACGCCAGACCCAGGCAACGGCTCCTTTCTTTGGTATCAATGCGTCGCTTCAAAACAATAAAAATCCAATAACCTCTGCAAATCACCACATATCGTCAAACCTAGTGCCCCTTCTAAATCTGCCTTGATCTCTCAGTCTCCTCAGTTCGTCCTCCTCCCTTCTCCTGTCCTCCTCGATTTGCTCCCTCGCAATCCTCTCCCTCCTGAGATCATCAACTAGTCTCTGGTCTGCCGCCGCCCTGCGTCGTGCATCGGCGTCCTCCTGCGCGAGCCTGGCCCGCTCCCGTTCGGCTGCCGCACGGGCGATTCGGTCTTCCCGCTGCAGCCGTTCACTCTCTGCCGCCTGTGCCTCACGTGCCTTGCGGTCTCGGCGAGCTTCCTCTGCGGCTACTCTAGCAACGACTTCCTCCTCCAAGCGGGCGTCGGCCTCGTGTTGCCTCCGCTCTTCTTCCACCCTGGCGAGGTGCTCGGCTAGTCTCTTCCTCTCGATCTCGGCCTTGGCCTGCTTAACCTGTTCGGCGTAGCGGGCTTCCTCCTCGGCCAGTCTTCTCTCTTCCATGTCGGCGAGAAGGCGCCTACGCTCGCGGGATTCAAGATCGTGGATCTCGTCTTCCAAACGCATCCGTTCCCGCTCAGCACGGTGGCCTACCTCAGAGGCGACGTTGTCGCGGACATCCCTTGTCCAATGACCCAGGCACTGGCGGATGTGATCACGGCCGCCTAGGCGGGGCTCTTTGCAGCCTTTCTCGATGCAAGAGTGGGATCGGCAGAAGCCATTGCGGTGGAGAGCTTCGTGAGAACACTTGTCATGGCGGCAGCAGTGTTCACGACAGTATAGTGACGTGGAGAGCTGGCCGGCGTTACACGAGCTGTGGGCGCAGGCGTGGGCGGGGCAGAAGCCACCTGCCGTCTTCGCCTCGTGCAGACACTTGTCGACGGAGCACTCGTGCGCAGAGCAGTACTTGGCGCTGCGGCTGTGGATGTCGAACTTGGCCTGGTGGCAGCCGGAGCTGTGGCAGGTGTGCTGCTTGCAGTAGTGCGAGCCGGACTCCTTGCCGTCGAGACAGCCCTCGAGGCTGCACTTGTGCGCGAAGCAGAAGTCGCTGCGTGCCGCGGCGATCTGGCGGCAGCCCTGTCCTGACTTGGAACAGGGGATGTGCAGGTCGCAGTGGATAGCCTGGCGCCCGTCTCGAAAGCGCATGCGTGGGCGCCGGCAGCCGCGAACCAGGCCACACGGAACGTGCATGTTGCAGTGGCCAGCTCCCGGGAGCACGGCCGGGTTCGGGCAGTTGGGTGCCATGCCGCACAGGTGAGCATGGCAGAAGCGGCGTGCAGGCTGTGGGCGGTGGCGGCATCCCCTGACCTCGCATGCGAGATGGGCTTCACATACGTCGTGATTCCCGAATCTTGGCTGTGCACAGTGTCTGTCGGTACACCTGTGGCGAGGGCAGATGTATGGAAAGGGCTCCTTCTCGGACCGTGAGGCCTGGGCCGTGCAGCCTCTGGCGCGGCACTTCCCGTGGAAAGAACAGTAACGGTTGGAAGGGTCTCGCGGGTTGATGCAGAAGGGGGTGTTCTCGTTCCTCGGGGCCTGGCATGTGTGGTCCTGGCAGTAGGACGAGTAGATCCTGGCCCCCTTGATGGTGTCAAAGACGTGTTTCCTGTCACAGCCCACCACCCCACATTTCCTGCTGCCGCCGCCGACGGCCATCGAATCGGCTCGCCTTGGGGGTCTGGCACTCGGCATAAAGGCGTCTACAATCTCAATGTATTGGGCCACTTTGATAGGTGGGTGATGGAGGTGGGTGTCGTTGTGGGGCAGCAATGCCTGAGCGTATAAGTGCCTAAGCTGAGAAGCGAGTGAGGCTTGCGTGCGGTGTAAGTACGATAGGCGAGGAGTTGTGCCTGATCTGCAGCCTTATTGCGTGGACGGGGTGCTTGTGGATGTGACGATGTCTTGCAGGCCACAAATAGGGTGTGACTGTTGGCGGACAGGAACAGCAAAGTGGAATTGGGAACGGCAGCGAAGTCGGGCACGGTGGTTGCCTGCTTTGATTTATACGACTGTGCAGTGCAATGCGAAAAGTGCACAATGAGCTCCATTGTTTTTGTAGCAGGCCGGACAGCTGCCTGGGGCTGGTTATGAATGTGATTGTAAAGTGCAGAAACGGGGTGTTACACTTGGAGCCCTCAATGCTCGTCACTGAGGCTGCAAGCATGTTAGCTTTCGTCAGCCATTGCTCAAGTTGAAAAAGTCTCGAGTGCTGCGCTCCGGCACCCATGCACAGGAGCAGTAGCAGCATGGCTCTAGCAGCAATGGCGGGGGCTAAGCCTAGTTTCAAGGGCAGCCTGGAGAAGGACCAACAAGCCTACTTGGCCTCAATGTGTGTGCTGACGATGGCAGTGCGGCACTAGATGGCTGCAAGCGTGCGGCGCGGCAGCAGGTAGAGAGGCCCTGACGAGAGTGTATCATCCCCTTCTCCTACTGGCACCCCACCCCCTCATCCACCATATCCTTCCCATCCCTCACACTGCCAATCCGCTGGTTAGCGGAGAGCGCAATGATTGGGAGGGTCGTCTGGTGGTGAGAGGAGCGACCACACCACTGGCCACTGCTCCACACCGAGAAGACCGAGAATGCTCAAGTACCACGAGCTGACGCGCCGGCCCAGGAGGCTGTGGCTCGCTATCATCCTGCGTTATCATCCTGCGTCCGACGGTCGCGGAGACCAAGGTGAACAAGGTGAGGGTTTTGGGTTTCGGTGACGCGAACAGGACCAGGTGGGAAGTGGTGGGAAGTGGAATAAGGCGTTTGGCGGTGGCATGTGCCCGTCGTGCAGGACAAGCCGCACCGCCAAGCTGCCAGCCGTCCCCCGACAGGCTGGTGTCAAGCAAAGTGCTTTTTTGTCGTCACAAGCTTGGACCAGGATGCAAAGTCGGCGTGAGCTGTACTCTGCCTGAGTAGTCTGTAGATGCGTTGGACGGTGCATGTCTGGATGTCTCGTGACACAGAAAGAAATGACTCCTCTTGCCGGTGCAGTCAACTGGACTTGATCTGCATGGCGGCTGGCGTCACTGCACTACTGTCTCCCAGCCAGGCAGGCATGCATGCAAGCAGGCAGCCGTTCATGCTGGGCTGTCCGCTTCTGCTAGACGCGCAGACGCGCATTGTCGTGGGTTGTGCATGCATGCGTGGTCAGATGATCTTTCCTACCGTCCGAGTCCACCTGGAAACATTGAATACAACGTTCAGCCGTTGTCGCGTCAGACGTTTCGAGCGAGCAACCTTGGCCATTTTCCCCTGGAGGGTCCTGGAGGGCTAGACTCTGGAGGAAACGTGGGAGTGATCCTCCTGGCACATGCTCGGCCGTCAGGTCGGGCCCTCTTGGCACGGAGCTGAATTCACACGATCAGCAAACGGCGCGTGCTGACACTGTCGAGGTCTCGAGCTGAGCTCCGGTCTGGGGAAGCTCGAGGGAGGCAACCGATGATCAAGCCTTTTTCTGAGGGGGGCTGAATGCCTACAACACATGTACGTGCCTGGGCCTTGGGTATGAGGATTTGAAAGAAGCTGCGTGATGAACAGTTGGAGGAAGAGGTTACACTGCAGGCCATGGCTTGACAGGCTTGATTGGGGAGAGACAACCGTTTGAAGGGAAGGTGACGAGGTGACGATGTCACCCTGCAGCCCCGGACCCAGAGCACCTGCAGTTGGAGCTTGGGCCACCAGCCTGGGAACTGACATTGCCTCTAACCTTAACATCGAGAACCAGCTGTCAATATTCAGCCCGATACCAGTCAACGCTCAATGCCCTCGCAGGGCTTCATCTCGTCTCGAATGGGATCTGTGGCTATCACTGATGCCTCTATACACTTTGGACATCATTGACGACAAATCGTTGCGAATGGTGTGTTGAGAAACCTGCTCATCCTGGCGAGAATGATAGTCCGTGTTAGCACCAAAGTCGTCCCGTCAGTCCCAACACTGCCCCCGCCCTTGCTATGGATCGTCTTCCTTCCGTTTAACAGCCCGCAACACAGCCCTCCTCGACCATCGACGACACCAGCCAGCCGGGCCAGCCTATGGAACAAAGGAGCAAACAATTCCATCAGCCACATCGATCTTCGGCGACATCAGCCACCACGAACCCCGTCAAGTCGAGTTGGTCGCGGGAGGCAAATGGCCTTCAATCATGATGCCTGCGAGCCTTTTCCGACTTGACTCTCGGGACACACACCCCCCCCCCATCTTCCCAGCCAAGCCCAGATATTCCAATCATCTGAACCGCATGACGCCGCCTCCCTGGCCCTCTCTGACCTACACGGATAAGCAGCCACTGTACTCCTGACAAAACGCCTGACGCCACCTGAGAGTGAGAGCCTCGCCGTGCTCAACGGCTGAAAATCTGGCCTATGTGCGACCGTACGACCTCAGTACCTGTCGCTGGCCACCCTCCGCTCCACCAATGGCGTCGTCCACGTACCTGGGGATTACAAATCAGCTGGCGCACCCGGGTCTCTTGACGGGCCTGAGGATTCCCGGATCAGCTCGTCCCTCCCGTGAGTCACGGAGAAGAACACCTGGCCGTTGGCCTGTAATTACCTCCTCGTGTGCAACATTGTGGATATTACAGGCTCACTCACCAGGCTGAACTGTCGCTTACACAGGAGGCTCCGTGTTCATCCGAACCATGGCGCTCGATTTATGCTGCCTTGAACAAGGCGTCCTTTGGAACCACGCCGTTGCATGATTACAGCTGTCCAGTCATGGATGAACCACCCCTCTACGGTTTTCAAGTCTACGTCAGCCTGTTCGTCAGATGCTGTCTTGGTTCTGGGCTGGTTCGTTCCTATCTTTCAGTGGGTGGCCATCTTTTCAATTGTGCATGGCAATTGGTCAGACGCGTCAGTCTCGATTAGAGTCCACCACCGTTCTAAGTAACAGTAGTAAAGAGTATGCCTCCATTTACTTTTGATGCTTATCCCTGTCTCCAATAACTCCGGAAATCTGGAATTAACAATTCGGGCTCTCCTTTTTTCGTTCCGAACTGTGTTGCCGTGGGCCCACCAGCCCTTCGGCCTCTAATCGCCGGGAGGGAACCTCAGGTCAGGGACAAGCATCAGCAGGAGTACTTGGATACCTACGAGGCACGCTTTGCATTCTCTCGAACGTGTGGAATATCGACAGAGTAACCTTGGACCCCAATCACAAAGCTCGTCTTATTGGACTGCACGCGATATGCTTCTGCCAGCCAAGTCCCGAGCGCCGAGGTAGACCCTGCGATTGCAGACAGAGTGTGGGTGATCAACCCAGTCCGCGTACGCCCAGACAGATATCCTCCTGATTGGTTGCGAAGTGTATTCGACTTCCTAATCAGACTCGTATCCGTTAGATGTAGCTTTCAATTTTAGCAACAAGTCATATTTTCCATCGGCCCTCGGAAGGGGGATTTTGCTGCCATGAGATTGCCTCTAGAAAGATCAGCATTCCAGTGACGATGTACCAGCCACTCGCTCGTTCTCATCACCACTTATACAGCAGCAACTATCAGCCCTAGATGATACTCGTCAAGATCAGACTCTAGATTTCCCTCGCTTCATTTGATTGCTTACTACACTCGTTACTTCTTTGATCTCCATCCCGACATCTCACCCACTCGTTCACCTGTCTTGTTTCGTTTATTTTTGTCCAGCTCCACGAAGCCCATTTGTCCTTTCCCAACATGAAAATCTCAAAGGTCGTTCCTCTAGCTTTTGCAATAATCAGCACAGCAGTTGCTAACCCCCGGGACGCGTCAGCTGATCAAGCTATAACTGTGCGAGAGGAGCTCGCTACTGGGGAACCTGTGCCTGAGACTGCGGAGGACATTTGGGGCGATCTCACTGGAGACAATAACTGCCTCGGATGCCAGGTAAGACGTGATTTATCAGAGACCTACCTGTATGAAGAACTGGCATCTGACCTTGCTAGGGGATTTTACTGACTCTCCGGACATTGGCCAATTTTGGCGATGACACTTTCGTCAGCGCTCTGCAGGCGCTATGCTCTGCCACATCTGTAGGTATACCATGAAATTACTGGTTGTCTTGGCTTCCTCTAATGAACTTCCCGCGTAGTCCGAAGATAGGGACGTGTGCGATGGGGCACTTGCCCTCGAAGGCCCCGTCATTGCAGCCAGCCTGCACCATCTCACACTGGGAGGCAAGACCGCCCAAATCTTCTGCACGACCTTGCTGGGTCTCTGCAACTATCCAGAGGTCGAGCAGTACGCGGTTCCGGTGATACCCGAGAACGCCATCGGTACGATCCAACCCATTTCCTCGGTCAACGCAACCCAGAAATCCCCTCTTAAGATCACCCATTTCTCTGACATCCACATCGACCCCCTTTACGTCACCGGGTCAAACGCCAACTGCTCTAAGCCCATGTGCTGCAGGTAAGTAATTCTCGCATCCGCCTCAAGCGCCGCGGCAACTTACAAACATGCCACAGACCCTATACTCCCGCGGATGCGCCTGGCAACAATGACTTTCCCGCAGGTCCCTTTGGTGATCACAACTGCGGTGCCCCGTTGAGCCCTGAGCAGAGCATGTCTAGCGCCATCAAAGTCTTTTCTCCTGATTTTGCGCTTTTCACAGGAGACATCGTCGATCACGCCATCTGGAACACTACTGTTGAGCAGAAGACAGCCGAAATCACCATGGCACACCAGCATATGGCTGACACCGGTCTGTTGGTCTACGTGACAGTTGGTAACCATGAAATGCCTCCGGCCAACGCGATTCCTCCTTCTCACCTCGGGAACAGTGCTCAATGGCTCTACGACGTCGTTTCTGAGGCGTGGAAACGCTGGATCGGTACCCCTGCAGAAGTGAAAGCCATCGGAGCCTACTCAGTCAAACACCCCAATTCCAACCTCCGCATCGTCTCGGTCTCCACCAACATGTGGTATACACTCAATTTCTGCCTTTACAAGGACGTCAAGAGAGACCCCAGCGACCATCTTCAATGGTTGGTAGGAGAGTTGGACGAGGCTGAGAAGGCAGGCGAAAGAGTCTATCTTGTCGGACACATGCCAATGGGTACCTCGGATGCACTCCACGACGGATCTAATTACTTTGACCAGGTGGTCAACCGTTACAGGTCATCCATCTCTGGCATGTTCTTTGGTGGGTCTTTCGCCTGTTTACTTGTCTGTGCAGTGCTGATGCCAGTTTTCTCCAGGTCACACTCACTTGGATCACTTTCCAGATCAGCTACTCCGATTATCAAAACCGCGACGCCTTAAATGCCGTAGCCATGTCTTATATCGCGCCGTCCATGACCCCGCTGTCCGGAATGCCAGCATCCAGGATCTACACAGTCGATCCCGACACCTTCGGCATCCTCGACGTCGACACCTACGTCGCCGACATGGCTGACCCCGGGTTTCAGAACGGCCCGACATGGAAGAAGTCGTACTCCGCCAAGGAAACCTTTGGTGCACTTCTCCAAATACCCATCTCGGCCGATGCCGAACTGACCCCGGCCTTCTGGCATAATGTCACTGTTGCCCAACAGGATCACCCGACCGCTTTCCAGGCTTACTGGTCCCGCAGGACCCGCGGCTGGAACATGCCGGAGTGCAACGAAGTATGCCGCAAGACGGAGATCTGTCAACTCCGAGCCGCTAGGAGCCAGAACAACTGCTTCGTGCCAACGCCCGGCGCCTCGTTTGGGATCCGTGCTGAGGAAGGTAGCGTGAAGAAGCCGGCCGAGTGTGACCGCTCTGTAGCCAGGGAGACGATTGGTTCTTTGGCGGTGCGAAAGGGTCAGATCGAGTTGCTCCAGAGCCTCATCAGGGAGGAACAGGACCGGATTTGATCTTTTCCGAAGTGGGACACATCGCCAAAATAATGACCACGTACCTGTGTGAGCCATATTGTGCTAGGGACCTTTTTACAAGACATAGTAATTCTATTTGTTTCTGTCACTAGGATATTGCACACATGTGACCGTGATCAAACGCCAGAGGAGACATCACTTCGGCCCGTTCCGATATTCCGTTTCGCCCCCAGCCAGCCGTGCACAATTCGTAGCAGTGAAGCCTTGGAAATCTGGGGTTTGGGTATCGGCGTGTGAGATCAAACGTACACATTCGATGATCTCTCGTTGTAACTTGAAATAGGTGATCGGACGCACCAGTTCCTAGGGGCACCGTGGATGATTTCCTATGCACGGGTGGTTTTCAACCCAGAACAGTAACCATACAGATGAATATCGCTAGTTTGTAGCAGCGACCCACAGCTTGACCCGCTTTGGATTGGACTTCTACAGACCCTACCTAGGTATAGCCTTGCGAGCTTTGCCAAGTGGTTGATGTGTCTGCAGCTACTTGAGCCCGCCCGGAATCAAACTCGGTGGCGTCTTTCAGGCTTGTGTGCCTGCACCTCTCGCCGCTTTTGTCAAGCGATCCCTCAGATGCGTTCCATATATACTCTGCGCTTTGAGGAATTCAGGCCTCGGAGCTACTTGGCAGTCCATGGGAAGTCGGATGATCTTGTCACATGTCACTTAAGACCGGTGGCTAACTATTCGCTCTGGTGTTGGGCGACTTTGGACAACATGGTATATATTCCAAATTCTGGAGACGCACAAAAAGTATGAGACTGCTTCCATATCGCATGGGATGGGGCTTTATAAAGCCTAGGAAGAGTTGTGCTTGTGTTCGCCCCAAATAAGGCCGATGGCCCAGACTTGTTGACTGCGTTGCTTTCGGTCAGGACATGCTTGGCAAAGCAAACACCTGCCCAACTGCAACCCTGATCAAAGCAGAGGATGCAAGTCATACCAATCCAACAGTGCTGGTCAGCCAGATTGGGCTAATGGCTCGCACCGCGGGAACTGGAAATGTCACGGGGGAGATCGCCGAGAGTTTGAGTGGGAGGCAGACACTTTCGTAAAGAGCACGGGTAGTCAGTGCGCGACGTATGTTTGCTGTGTCACACTTGGTGGCATGGAGATCCAAATTAGCGCCGATCCGACCGGCCGAAGACACAGCTGAACAACCGTAGCAGCCATGTTTGGAGGCGCCGGGTTGACCAACACGGGCTCAGTCGCCTCATTGCTGCCTAACCGTGCATTCCATACTGCACAAAGGAATCGCGCGGTAGCCACTTGGATCGGACTCATCGGGGGCGACCCCAACGTTTCGCCATCCAGCACATGAGGGTGTAGTGTAGTGAATGTCTTCTAAGGCCTCTCGAACGCCAGCTACGGCAAACAAACATAGCTATCCCAACGTGAAACATAGAACAATATTGATCGCCGGGTAGCTCGTTGGAAAACGTATTTTCCGCGTCTGCCGATGGTGTGAAGTGTTGTGACAGCGCGTATACCAGCCATACATATGGAGCAATCACTGTTGGTGATCAGACTTCCGGCGGCCGCGGTTCCATGTCTAAGAAAAACGATAAACTTTGCAGCTTGCATGGTTCATTGCCACACGGAGCGCTGACTGCAGAAAGGACCCGAACGCCTGGCACGGAAACTTACTCGCAAGCGTCAGAGCTGCGAGCTTAATTTGATTGCAGCGTGGCGTGTTGCCAGTGTGACGCTGGGCCCTATTGCCAGCCAGCGTTGCGTTATTCACACTGGACTGAAACCTTACTGAGGGCCGAGGCCCCTGCGTGGATAGCGCCCTCTGTTGGACTGGTGACTCTCTCACCTTTGATCATTCATCCCGTCGTGCAGCCAACACTGGGTCTCCTCTCAACCTTGTCGTGACTACTACATCTCAGTCTCCGTCGCGCATGGCGAGATCGGTATGGGCACGTCGCGCGAGCATCGCGTTAATTGACGACCTTGGAAGTCATGGCGCTGTCCCGACATCGTGGCTGTTATGTCGGAATATCGGTCACCCTCTTTGCCGCCACTGCCGCGCTGGCGCTCCGGCTATACGCCCGTCAGCTAACTCGAGTCCGTCTTGGGATCGATGACTACCTCTGCATTGTCGCCTATGTGAGTTGCTGAATTTCCACAGTCGATGCGCAAACCAGTGCGCTCCAGCCGTCAGGACTGACATGGAGAACCAGGTCTTTGCAGCAGTCTGTTCCGGCATCATGTTCAGCTGTCCGTCAACACCTGGCGCGAGGAAGCCGATGAGTGATTCTAATCGTATATAGGGACAAACTACGGCCTGGGGAAGTTACTGGCTGACGTCCCGCGCCCGCAAGCTGTCATCTTCCGTGACAACACGCTGTACCTATACATCCTCGAGTTCACATACGCCTACTCGCTCGGCTTCTCCAAGCTCTCCATTCTTGCGCTGTACTGGAGATTCTTCAGCCTGTTCAGGATCCGTGTGCCCATCATCACACTCTTTGTCGCCACGGTCATCTGGCTGCTCTGCCGGACCTTCCTGGGCCTTTTTCACTGCTATCCCATCCAGGCATTCTGGGAGGGAATGGCCAAATATCCCAACGCTGTTTGCCCGATTGATGACGCCAAATTCGAATTCGGGACGGTCGTTGTCCACGCCTTCTTGGACGTCACCATTTTCAGCCTGCCAATCTTCCAAATACAACAACTGACCTTCAGAACCACCGGCGAGAAATTAGCAGTCCTGGCTATCTTTGCATCCGGGGCCTTCGTCTGCATCGTCTCCATTGTAAATCTGACCCAATTGTACGCGTTCTTGCACACAGATGCTTCGATAGAGGTCCTGTAGTAAGTGGAAGACCCATATTTGGCTGTTGAAACAGTTGACCGCTCCTGCTAACGCTGTTCTTCACTCCAAGCAACACCGCCCCTCCAGCACTTTGGGGCCAGATCGAGATCAACATGGCCATCGTCGCAAGTAAGTCGAAGTATCAGTTAACCATGCTTTCACCCGTGAGTCCAGTTTGTTTCTGACAACACCCAGTCAGTCTGCCCCTTGTCAGACCTGTTCTACAGAAGGTCTATCGCGGGCTGGTTCCCCCAAGTGCTAACCAGGACCGTCGAGAATCTGCATCTGAAAGCTATCCCGGGTGGGTCCATATGGAATGGCTCCGGAAGCTAACCTCCATATCATCATCGGGTGCCAGGACTGGGAGGACCGCGACGACCGCAACGACCAGGGTGACAGGAGGCACCAGGCACGATGCTGCGAACGATGAAGTGGAACTAACGAGGCACCAAGGTCTGGACTCGTTTGCGGACGCGGTGACTCGGACGCATACTTATGCAACTGGCGAACACGTACACTGGGAGCCATCTATTTCAGATGCCAGGAATGACCTGAGAGCCCCATGGTATCTGCCTCCGGTGAGCCCACTCTCTGGCTTCGAATCCATCCTGGAGATCGTAAGCCCTAAAGAGGCTGGGAATTTCAATGGGAGCAGATCTGGAAGTCCTGTGTGAGAAAAGTATGGCATAGTGTCAAAATGCACATCTAGTAATAAAGTAAAGTATGACAGTAATAAAGTAAGGTATGACAGTGCAACCGTCCACCAGGACGTGTACATATCAGTGGCATTTCTCTTCAGGGACTACAAGTGACAAGCATGAATCCACTATTTTGCCGTCTTCTTCTCCTTAAAGAACATGTTCAAGCAGCCCATGAGTCCTTGCAGACCTTGTGTCTCTGCACCGGGTACCAGTCGTCCCTTGATCCACCCGGGCAATTTGCGGCGAATGCGCTCCGTCTCGAAACGGCGGTCGACGAGCACGATAGCAGCATAGTCAGCCTTGTGTCGTATCGCGCGTCCGATACTCTGATTGACGGCGCGGAGACAGGCGTTTTCGTAAAAGTCCCGGGCGATCTGCTTCGCCTCCTGAGATGCCTGTGCCTTCGATACCGACGGTGAGGAGGCCGTCAGCCGGGCGGCAGTGGATGACTCGAGATATTCAATCCGTGCCTTCCACTCGGGGCTGTTGATGTTGGGATATGGGAGGCCTATGATGACCACGCATCGGCCCAGGCGGTCGGAGAAGTTGATGCCCTCGGACATCTTGCCGCCCACAACACTTAAAAGCAGCGCGCCCCTGGCGGGCTTACGATCTGCCGGCTGAACGGTTCCTAGTATTGCCTCGCTGTATCCTGCCAATACTTCCTCGCTCGACCCGCCCTTGCTCTCTCGAAAGAGCGCCTTTTTGTCTGAAAATCGGTCCCACAGTGGCTTTCCACCGTCGGGTCCTGATGGAGCCTTCCAAACCTCGATTGCCTCATCCAGATACCCATAACTGGGGAAGAAAGCCACTACGCCGTCTGGTACCACCGAGCAGATGTTCAGCAGGGATTGGCCAAGTCTGTTGATTGTACCCTTGTCGCTCCGCTTCTGGAAGCTGAACTCAAATAGTCCGCTTGTTGCGTCAGCTGCGGCATTGCCGTGTACAGTCTTCCTGGGCCGTGTGGATGCCAGTGTCCAGACGCAAAGATTCGAATCGGGTATTACATGGCCACAGCTGAGAGTGGTGATCTTCTCGGGTGTCAGGTAAGGAAAGAGATGTGTTTTGTAATCGTCGAATGGTGACATGGTCCCGCCGGCGAGAATGATTGCTCGGGCGGATGTTGCGATGGACGAGAAGGCATGCGTTGGTGACAGCAGCAGATATGAAAGCTTGATATCTGGGGGATTCGCGCTTCTCTCGTGGAATATGCGACCTTCGTCGGCTGGATTGGTGAGAGCTACGAGGAAAGAAAGGAGAGCGTGGAGAACAGGGCTTGAGTGAGCCGGTTTGGCCGGGGTGTCCGAGCCTTCGGGCTCCTCGATGTGGGCTGCGTAGCTTTCGACCTTGAATGCGAGCTTTGACTCTTGGATGTACTTGATCAGCTTGAACATGTTGATCTGATCGATTCCCTTGCTCTGGAGCAGCGAGTTAGGATCCACAATGCCATGCTCACTCTGAGGATAGTTAGTGGAAATGGACGACATCCAAAGTTCTTTAGGCTTGATGGACTCACTTTGGAAGACAAGGCTGTGGTCGACCACTCGGTCAGCCCATCGATCACCTTCACAACTTGAGCCACCATGATCCTGTTCTCGCCCTTGAGCTTCTTCCCAAATCTCTTGAAGTATACCCCAATCATCTTCCGCGCCCGCTTCAGCTCGCTCAGCCGTACTTCTGCAGCATGGACATTTGCAACAGCGTCCATGATGTTATGCGCCTCGTCAATTATCACAACATTGCCCTCCAGTTTTATGCCCAGTGCCTCGCGGGCACTTGCCTGCAGAAGCAGTGGATACGGTAAAGTGACGATTTCTGCTGTGGGTATTGCTGATCGCGATGCGTAGTAGGGACACACATGATGAGCTTTGCCCAGTCCGTGCAGGTCCTCGATGTCAGGAAGCGTTGCCAGAGCAGCGTCACGGAACTGGTGTGTTTGGGCAAGGTTCTCAGAATTTGGGAGGTAGGGACATTTGTCCTTTGACTTTGGCTTCTGCAGTTCGCTGCATCTGTCGTTGATGGCGGCCACAGACCCGAGTTTTGCCACAGCTGGGTTGATACAAAGCTGCTGTCGTGATGAAAGAGGAATCTGTTTCACTGATTCCCCTTCCGATGACTCATCATCAGGGTGCTGGCTCTTCAGATGCGTGGGCAATGCAGACGGGAAAACGGGACGGCGTAACTCGGAGATGAACTGCGTCAGTTGAGAATGGGTCCTCGATGTGTAGTAAATCTGAAGAGGCGGTTAACATGGTCGAACTTGGTATTGTTCTGGATGGAAAAAAGGAAGGCTTACTTTGATCTCGTCGTCCACAGTTTCTTCTTCGGCGTCAATCTTTTGTGCTCCTCCCATTCCAATCTTCTGCAGCAGAGCTTTTGTCTCCTTGCTCAACCCGTCGAAACCATCTTTCTCATCCGAGCTCCGAGCAGCACCAACACCATTACCTTCTTCCCAGTCATCGATCAAGAACTCGGCTTCTTCCTCATCTTCCTCTTTCGATCTTGAAGTGATGTCCGATCTGTCGATACGACGGCGCTTGCTTCCACGTTCTTCGGTGGCCTTCTCCTTCTGGCGGATGGCTTCGAGTCGCGCCTCACGCTCCTCCCACTTTGCCACGAGTTCGTTCCTCTTGCGTCGCAGCATCTGCTCAACGATCCAGTCTGGCTCCCCTTCGGCGTCTTTGGGATCGATCTGAGTTGACGCTTCGAAAGCACGTCTCTTGAAGTCCCTCAGCCAGGTCATTGACGCGCAGATGAGCGACAAGGATTTCCCCGTGCCCGTCGGGCTTTCAAGAATCCCCACTTGGCCTTCGCCGCGGCCGAGAACATCATATGCTGCTTTCATGAACTCAAGTTGAACGTCATAAGGCGAGTACGGGTGGTGAAAATTGGTCTGATCTCGCTGGACCTCGTCTGAGGCTGCCATGGCGGACGGAAGCACGAGTATGCATGTGACCAAATAGTTGCTGTTGGGAAGAGAAAGAGCAGGGGTGGCCTCACACCGTGGGTCCCTGATGATTTGAAAGCGGGTGGCTCTGAGGATGAGTTCTAGACGCTTGGTTGTTGCACAAGAGTGGATGGAATGTTGATGGTCAATCGCACCCTGATGGTCAATCGCACCCTCAAGAATGAGTTGAGCAATTCTGGGGGCAATGGAAGGCGGCTCTCAACCCTATCCCTGATCTCGCGTGAGTCTGCGTTGCAGTCGATGCCCCCACCCCATCTAGGCAGGGGGGGGGGCTTGAGGAAAAGGACCATTCCTGTTCAACATGCAGCTATACACCCCCACCGTAGACCTTACCTACACATCTTTCAGAATCCGTTCTTTATCATGGGACTTCAAGTTGCAACCTGCCCTTGTTGAAATTACGGCACCATATCCTGCTGGACCTCGCAATCCTGTTTCGGTCTTTTGTGTCTCTCTTTGGCACTTGGTCCTATCTTGCATTTATTTCAATATGTCACACCGCGTTGGTTGATATCACGGTAATGGTAAGTTGATTCTCCTTGGAAGAGAGTTGGATTTCACACCAACGGATCGTATTCAATGGAAATATCTCGACAACATTCATCTTACTCCAGCCTTAATGTCACGCCGCCCGCAATGCTGTGCTGTGAGACGCCGTATCGGCCCGTCTGAAGGCTCCAGTTCAGGTTTCCTGTGCAGTTTAGTCGGCACGCACGAATGAAGGTCTCGAGCCTGGGTATGAATTCCTTGTCATCTGAAAACTTCCGTGCCAACGATTCAGCCGCGCAGTCAAAGTCCTTGACGGCATTCTCGATGGTCTCGACAACCAGCGACACCGCCAGGTCCAGGTTCCCATGCACGAGGTAGAGCAGCGGCACAAAACTGTCGACGGTTTGTTGCGCCTGCAACCATCATGTTCAGTAAGGACAAACGTCAGATACGAAATGTACTAGCAAGCGGGGCCAACCTACAACTTCTTTTTTCAGAGAACGCAGATCATTGGTTCTGATAGAGAGCGTCAGCGTTGGTCGTGAAGCGTCAGGCAGGTCTGATGGACGACGTATAACACTTTCATATCCGGGTCATTGAGGACCTCGACTGATATGCTCGTACCATAGGCATATCTGCGGGCGTCAGCCGGCCTGTCTTGGTGTAGCCGCGATCTACCGACCATCGACTCACTCATTGAAGAAGCTGGCCACGTTGACTGCGCTTGTGCCCAGCCGGGCTCTCATGTACTCCTCCGTTGATGGGAGTTCTGGGCTGAGTCGAATTCGTTGTTCCGCCTCTGAAGTCTCCATGAAAAACTCGAATTCCCTCAGGAGTATTCCTCGATGGCCTGCTTGTGTCAGCTGACTTCAGTCATGAATGGAGATGAAACGTCAAGTCTTGTATTACTCTGGTAATACGCTTCACAGGTAGCATCACCGATAACCTTGAAGAAAGCAATGATCTGGTTCGGTGGCTCTGGTTTTGTTGCGTCGTCTTCGGAAAGTTTCAGACAATACCTAACGTAGTTTGTTGTGTCAGGCCGTGCGGACTGAAGGAAGGGCCTGGGGCGGCAGTTCATCTTCTAACGGCGGGCCAGCCTCATCGTCGCAATCGGCTACGGTCTCTAGGTTGAGCTTCGTGCTGTCTTATTCTTTCTCGGGCGGAGATCGCTCAGAGAAGATTGATGAGAAGGTTGCTGGATAGTTGGGGTGCTACATTGCCTGCATGCATGTCTATGCCGGCTGCTTGTGGAATGGCCGCCTAGACAGTGGCCGGCCTCAAGCCCAGCGCAGTTGACGATTCTAAACCTGCCTACTATGTACGAAATCGAAGCACTGCTAGATGGGCTCTTGATCTTGGTGGCCAGACGACCCACATTTGGGTGCTTGGCAGAGCTTCGTGATGTCGCCGGCCAAGCACATGCACACAACCCTGGCCGCCGTTTAGATCCGAATTAGGGAGGTCGCTGCCATGCCAGCATCGCTACCGGTGTGGTCCCATCATACCCTGCAAACAACATTGTGACCCCACGGAAGACTGCATTTAAAGAGACTTCACTCTCTGGCAAGAGACTTAGACTTCGGGTCCTACTCGATGTTCTCAGCCATCCTGTTCCTTCCTACACGCCGTCCAGGCCAGCGCTGCCAAAATGTCCCGGATTCGCTTCCTCTGGCTTGTCGCTGCTGTTAGCACCCGCCTTGGCTCAGCACCCTACGCGTGAAACCTCGTCGCGTGTGGACAAGAGAGCGCCCCTGCTTGATATCTATCGCTTCAACACGGTGTCCACCTATACCACGTTTGACCAGGATCGCGATGTTCCTTCCAGTGCGGCTTCGAAACGTGATGACGACGTGGGTGCAGATGGGTATGGGAATGCAGCAGTCCCCAACTATGTCCAAGTTGCGACATCTCAGGTGCGAGAGGTTGTACCGAACGCAAGTTTTCGCGTCGTAGACGACTACTATGTTGGCACCAACAATGTGGGCCATGTGCACTTCCAGCAGGTCATTGATGGAATCGACGTGGACACTGCTGACTTCAAAATCAACGTAGGTTGTCTACTTGTGCTACAGTCGCACGTGAACTCATATATCCCATGTTCTCATCATTGAAGCGAATACCTGACCACTCAACTTAGATTCTGGAAAATGGCACTGTGCTATCCTTCGGCCATTCCTTCCACATGGATTCCCTTACCCCGTTACAAATTGTGAGGAGGGCTGAGAGCACCATAACTCCCCTGGCCGCCTTCGAGAGCGCCGTGAAGCTTCTTGATCTCAGTCACGAGCATTACCGGTGCAGTCGCCGAGGTGGAGGGCCCCGGCGAGAGCTACACTATCAAGCAAGTCGAGGGCTTTGTGGCGAGTCCAACAGCGAAGCTGGTTTACGTGACCAGAGACTCTGAGGTCGACCTTGCTTGGAGAATAGAGACAGACATCGGATCGAACTGGCTCATTTCCTACGTTGACGCTGCTTCTGGCAACGAGATCGCAGGAGTCATTGACTACACAAACACGGCGAGTTGCGAGGCTTTGTGGGTCCTTCCCCTATTGTGTTGACTCATATAAAGCCAACAAGACCTAACCAGGCAACCATATAGCCCATGGGGTACAATGAACCCATATGAAGGCTCTTGGCAGCTTATTGCCAACCCGGAAGACGCGCCATCATCGCCATTTGGCTGGCATTCAGATGGCACCCAGAATTACACAACCCTGCGCGGAAACAATGCATTTGTTACTGTTGGAGGGGCAACTACCAACAAGGCAGTTGCAACTTCTCCCTCGCTTGTCTTCTCGTACCCGTACTCCCCTGCTACTGCCAACTGGCAAACATATGTCAACGCGTCAGCAACCCAGGCTTTCTACACCATCAACAAGTTTCACGACATCCTTTACGCCCTGGGCTTCGACGAGGACGCGGGAAACTTCCAGGTCTCCAACAACGGCAATGGTGGACGAGCCGGTGACCCCGTAGAAATCATAGTCCACAGCAGCGGTGGATCCGCCATGATCTCGACGCCGGCCGACGGCAGCAGTCCACGGTTGTCCATGGGCGCCTGGACGAGTGGCGAAACGCCGCTTCGAGACTCCGCTTTCGATTCGACGGTGCTACTACATGAGTACATGCACGCCGTGACGGTGCGCCTGGTCGGCGGGCCAGCCACCTCCGGCTGCCTCAGTGGAAATGACGGGCTCTCCCTGAACGAGGACTACTCCGACTTTGTGCCGACGCTCCTGCGGGTCAAGGCTGGCGATACACGAAGCACGGATTACACCATTGCAGACTGGGCCACGGGCGAGGCCATCGGGCTTAGGTCTCACTACATCTCGACCAGTCTGGAGACCACGTCTCTGACCTACGAATCACTCAACGCCCTGGCCTCCAGCGGTGGTTTCGGCCTGGCCACCGTGTGGGCGACGGCCCTGTACGAGGTCTTCTGGAACCTTGTCGACACATACGGCATCGGCGAGATGGACAAGGTGACGCTGGGTGCGGGCGGGATTCCACAAAGAGCTCGTTACTTGCTGCTCAAATTGATCTTGGGCAGTGATGCCCTGGTACCCTGCTCCCCGAATCATTTGCAGACGAGGGACGCGATACTCCAGGCCGATCGTGTTCTAACTGGTGGCACGAATCAGTGCGCCATTTGGAAGGGCTTCGCAAAGAGAGGTTTTGGACAAGACGCCGTCAGAGGGTCCGGATAGGGCAGGTTTGTCGTGCCCTCTGGATGTTAGCGGCATTCACTGTTCAACATATGCGCAGACATGGAGAGATCCTTACTTCCTCGTGTACTAGACTATGGCTGCTATGTGTACATATATTTGACGGACGATGTGTCCAAAGAAAAGTAATGAAGGAATACTACATCTGGCATGGGCGTCTGATAATTGTGCCACTCCACCACTCACGATTCGATGAAGCTCACCACTTGCCATAGTCCCGAATGCCGTCTATGAATTTACACGGCCCACATCAGCTCTGTTTAGGTACGTAGCAGATTTCACCGTTGATTCTCGCCTGCAGTAGGTACTTTGAGTCGGTCATAGTGTTCCTACAAGTGGTCGTAACATCTGACACGAGCTTGCCACTCATATGCTACCATTGTACTAGCGTACAACCTCAACAAGAATTGCCTCATGATTTGGGCACATTTGCAGCTAAGTTATATCCTGTCCCTGGCCAGAACAGCGTATGCCAAGAAAGACAATAGTCATGAAAGATGCGTCCGATATATGCAGGAAGTCTTACACACACACAGTTGTATGGTGGATATGGAAGTATGCTCTGCTTACATGATGTATGGCTCAGCGTGTGCACTGTGGCCACTTAACATTGACTGTCAGGAACCGTGGCTGCAACCATTTTGCGTGGGTTTGCCTGGGCAAAAAATGTGATTTCGCAACCGAGCTCACTGTGGAAGGCTATAAGTGTTGTAAGGGGTTTGAAAGCATAATTATAAAAGCGTTTATCTCCTAAGAGTAGTTTAAAAGGAGGAAATAAAAGAAATTTAGCTATTTAAGCATTTTAAGAAATAATTATAAACTAGGGTTAGGGATATACATATAATACATCCCTTAATTAAAAGGCAATTCTTATCTTATTAACTACCTTACTTTTTTAAGCAGCTAATTTATACTTAAAAATATTAGCTATAGCTTATTAAGCAATTAATTATTTAATTTTTCTTATAATATATATACTTTATTACCTAAACTTTAATTACTTATAACCTTATAATGCAACCTATAACTAATAATTAAACCTCTTTTTTAAACTTTTTAATTAAATCTATATTTAAAAATACTTACTTTTATTAATTTTAAGCACCTTTTTAATTATATTAAAAATAGCTAAAAATAATAAAAAATAAGCTTTTAAGCCTTAAATTATTCTACCTTCTTATATTTTTAAAGTTTAAAAAAAAAATATAAATATATTTAAATTAATAAAAAGCTTATTAATAAAAATAGCAAAAGTTTTAATACTCTTATTAAAATGCTGCTAAATAATATACCTAAAAATAAGTTTTTTAATTAATTTAAAAATTAATTTTAAAGCATATATTAATTCTTAATATAGCTTTAAAAAACCTTTAAATATATATAAATAACTTAAAGCTTAAAATAAAACTCCTTTTTAAGGAAAAGGCTAAAATAAAGCATAAGGAAAAGAAAAAGGATATAAAGAAGCTTAAGAAAATTAATAAGCATTGCATTCCTTATCTCCTTTATATTAAGAGTTTTATATATAATTATAATAATAATTTTTATATAAACTATAATAATAAAAGCAATTATTATTATTATTATACTTAAAGTAATTCTTATAAGCTACTTTTAATAGCCCTTTTATTATTTATATTTTATTTTTACTATATTTAATTTAGCAATTCCTTAGCGCTTAAAAAGTTTTAATATGCTTAAAAAAAGGCTTTAAATATATATAAGTATAAGAAATTTAATTTTATTTGCATTAATTATATTCTTATAATTCCTTTTAATACTTAAAAGCTTTTTACTTTATAATAATAACTTATAAAAATTATAAAAAGTAAATATAAGAATATAATAAAGCACCTTAAAGCTTAAATTATAATTACTTTAAAATAATATAATAAGTTTAATATAAAAACTTAAAGGCTTTAAAACTAAGTTATTAATAATATAAAAATTATAAAAAAGTATAAAGATTACATTATTATTATAATTAAATGCTTTAATTTTAAAGATAATATTAAGAAATAAATATAATTAAATTTTAATTTAAAATTATAATTAAAAATTTAATTAAAGGTTGAGAAAGTTTTTTAAAAAAGTTAAAAGATTATTATAATAATTAAAAAAAGGTTTTAAATTAATTAATATATTATTATAAAGATTAAAAGGTAATTTTTAATTGCAAAATAGTTTTTATATAAGAGTTATATTATAATTTTTAAAAAGTATAATTTTTAAAATTTTTAATAAAAACTTAATAATAAAAATAATTAATAAATAAATAATCCTTTTTTATTATTTTCCTTATATTTTAAAGATTTAAAAAAACTTTAAAATATTTAAATTAAACGTATAATAAAACTTTAATAAATTTATTTATAAGTATTTTCTTAGTTTTTAAATATATAATATTAAAGGTACCCCTTTTAAATTCCTATTTTAATTATATTTGCTAAATATTTATATATTTAAGCCTTATTTTTAACTATTTATACTTATTAATAATTAAGTATATTATTATTTAATTATTATAATAAATAATTTAAGATTTGCTTAAATTTAAGGTTATATTTTTAAATAAGCATTTTAAAGCTATTATTTCTTTAACTATAAGCTTTAAAGCTAATAATTTAGCCTTAATAATTAAAATAAAAATAATTACTTATTTATATACTTTTTAATATATAAGGCCCTTAAAAAAGGTTATTATATATCCTTAAGAAGATCTTTAATCTTCCTTGTTATTAGTAAATAAAGCGTTTTTAATTATTAAAAGCGCTTAAGCTTTTTAATTTCCTTTAAATTATAATTTAAGGAATTAAGTAATATATAAATATTAAATTATGCAATTTATTACCTTAAGGTAACTTAAACTTAGGTTTATAAGGAATCTTAATAATATAAAGTAAGGAAATGCTATATTTAAGTATATTATAATTATTATATAAAAAATAAAAATAATTATTTCTTAAAATTTTTAAATTTCTTATTTTAAGGCTTATTTAAAAAAAAGCTTAAGCTTTTCTTTAAGCATTAAAGTAAATAATAAAAAGTTTTTACTTTTTAATAAGTTATATTTATTTATTATTTTTTTAATATATAAGTTATAAAGAAGCGTTATAATGCGCTTTTTTTAATCTTTAAAAATTTATATATTTAAGAATTATTAAGCTTTTCCTTAATTCTTTATTTTATATATAAATTTAATTTTATTTTTAATCTTTATAAAGAAATTATATTTATCCTTAAGATATATAATTAAAATATTATTTATATAAAAGAGGATTACTACCTTATAAGCTAAGCTAATAAAAAGGCATGGCTTTTTTAATAAGGGTTTTAAGCTTAAATTTTATAATATATAGCTAAAATCCTTATATTAAAGAAATAAAAAATCTTTCAATTTATAAAGTACCTTTAAAAATACTTTATATTTCCTTAACTTCTTAAATTTATTAAGCAATTTATAATAAATTTAATTTAACTCTTTTTAGCTAATATTTAAGAATATAATTATAATATTAAATTATTAAATTTTTAAATTAAAGTATATAATAATTATTATTATTATATAAAATAATCTTATAATTAGGATTGCAATATATATGCTTTTTATAATAAAATAAGGTTATAAGTTTCTTTAAATATAAATTAATATTTTAAAAGATTTAATTATTTTATCTTTATTAAGCTTATATTTATATACCTATTTTAAAGGTAGCAATATTAATTTTGCTTTTTTAACGCTTAATAGTCCTTTAAATACTAAGCTTAATAAGGCTTTGCATCTTTTAATATATTACCTTAAGTTATTTATCTTAAAAAGGGCTTTTTTAAGCTTCTTTTTATATAATTAATTTTAAAGATAGATTTTTATAATATTATTATTATAAATAAGGCTTAAACTTAATTTTAAGAGCTTAAATAGCAGCTATTATTATATTATTTAAGGTTAAAAAATATAGGTTTTTAAATATTCTTTATTTTTATTTTTTAAGCTAATTAAGCAAAAAAATAATTATAAAGTTACTTTAAAAGGTTATATTAAAATAAAATATAATTGCATTTATTAAATATAATAATTAATTAAAGGATTCCTAAGGGCATTTATCTTAATTATATACTTAGGAAGATCTTCTTATAAGTTTAAACCCTTAAATTTATTCCTATATCTTCCTTATTTGCATTAATTAAAAAAATTCTTAATTTCCCATAACTTTAAGTATATATAATTTTTAAAAGGAAGGTTTAAATTTATTAATTTTTACTTTATTAATAAAAGTATATTTCTTTTTATAAAAGCCTTGTTTTAATATATTTAGGGTTTTCTTAAGGGTTAAAAGTCCTTATTCTTAATTTCCTAAGCTTTTTAAAAAGGCAATATATAATAAACTTTACTTTTTAAATTTAAAAGTCCTTATTCTTAAGTTTTAATTAAAAGTATTAATTTTATTCTTTTTTAATATAAAATAAATATTAAATTTATTATTTAAATTAATTAAGTTATTTTTTATATAAAGTATTAAAAATATAATATAAATATAATTTTAAATTTCCTTAGCATTAATAATTTTAATATTTAGTAATTTTACTTTAAAAATTAAAAGGTTATTTTTTACTTTATTTATTGCTAATTTATAAAATATATTTTTATTAAATTATATATTCCTTATAAAGATTATTTACTTAAGCAAGGGAATTTAAATTTAAAAAACGTTAAATGCTATATAATTAATTAAATATTTAATGTAAGCTCTTAGTTCCCTTTTTATAAGGTATCTTTTTATATTATTTTTATATTTCTTTTTAAGCATATATGCTTTAAATTTATAAGTATAAATATTATCTTAATGGGGCAATAAATAAGCTGTAAAATGGTAAATTTATCCTAATTTAAATTACTAAAAATAATAAGAAAACTATATATATAAAAGAGTGTTTAAGGCGCGCCTTTTTTTTCTTAGGGTAGGTAATATATTATATAATTA